GCCCCCCCCCCCCCCCCCCCCCCAGGGTAGCAGCAGCAGCCAGGGGCTCCGGCAGCAGTTTAAAGGACCCGGGGCTCGGCCGCCGCTACTGCCCCGGGCCCTTTAAACCGCTGCCGGAGCCCCCAGCTGCCGCTGCTACCCCAGGGCTCCGGCACCAGGGATCCAGGGGCTATTTAAAGGGCCCGGGGCAGTAGAGGCAACGGGAGCCCTGGCCCTTTAAATAGCTCCCGGAGCCCCGCTGCCGCTACTCCAGGGCTCCGGCAGCGGGGTTCTGGCGGCAATTTAAAGGGTCTGGGGTTCCCAGCAGCGTCTGGAGCCCCAGGCCCTTTAAATTGCTGCCTGGGGAAGCCGGGCCGCCCCGGTACGGCGCACCGGCTCTTGCCGGTACGCCGTACTGGGGCGTACCAGCTTACTTTCACCTCTGGAGTTTCTCTCTTTTGTCCCTCGTCACTCTGGAGATTTTTATGGACTTTTCTTTACTCTTTGTTGTATGTTTCATTTAAAACACAGACATCAAGGATAGTGTCGCAATATTGGGAAGAAGTGAATGAAGACAGAATGAAGGCTAGAGAGAAGGATACAATATGGGGAAGGCAAATCCATACAATACTCGAAGATATAGAGGCAATGTTCTCTGCATTAAGCTACAGTGCAAGCTTTCTGGAGCAGGCACAGTGTTGTTTGTACAGCACCTAGCACATCGGAGCCTTGATCAGGGCCCTTACATGCTACTATAATAATTCTAAAAATAAGGTGGGTGAGGTAATATCGTTTATTGGACCGACTTCTGTTGGTGAAATAGACAAGCTTTCAAGCTATACAGAGCTCTTACTGAGGTCTGGGAAAGGTATGCAGAGTCACAGCTAAATACAAGGTAGAAGAGATCGTTTAGCATAAGTAGTTAACACATATTCTAAGGAACCATTCAAGGTGAAGTGGCCTGTTAACACCCCTGCAGTCATGGAACAAAAACGGGTGGGGTGGCGGGGGAGTTAGTGGGTTACAGATTGTTGTGATACACCATAAATCCAGTATCTTTAAGACCATGATTTTTAGTGTCTAGCAAAGTTGTTTATTGAAGCTTCCAGGCTCGTCCTTTGAAGGTGTTGTGCAGATTTCCTTTGAGGATGAGGATTGAGAGGTCAGATACGGAGTGATAGTTTTATGAAAAGTGTTTGCTCATGGATCATAACTTTGCTAGACACTAAAAATCACAGTCTTAGTGCTTGTCGACACTTGAAACACTGCTGCAGCTGTGTCGCTGTAGCACTTCAGCGTAGACACTAGCTACGCTGATGAGAGGAATTCTTCCTTTGACCTAACACTGTCTACACCAGGGGTTAGGTCGGCTTAACTACATTGCTCAGGAGTGTGGATTTTTCACACCCCTGAGCAATGTAGCTGGGTTGATTTAACTTTTGAGTGTAGAAACCCACAGCTGGCCCGCGTCAGCTGACTCAGGCTCATGGGACTTAAGGGGCCATTTAATAGAGATGTAGGCAGTAGGGGTTCAGGCTGCAGCCCAAGCTCTGGGTCCTTCCCATCTCACAGCGTCCGAGAGCCTGGGCTCCAAACCGAGCGTCTACACTGCAATTAAAACAGCCCCTTAGCCCGAGTCAGTGGGCACAGGCCAGCTGTGGGTTTTTAATTGCAGTGTAGAGTACCTTTCCCAGACCTGAGGAAGAGCTTGCTGTGGCTCTAAAGCATGTCTCTCTCACCAACAGAAGTTGGTCCAATAAAAGATATTACGTCACCTACCTCCTCTCTGTAATGTCCTGGGAACAATGTGGTTACAACACTGCCACCTGTAATAATATTGTCAGTTGTAACACATTCTGTGTCCCAGTATGGCAGATCAGTTCTGAAGGCTAGTTATTCTTCCTTAACATTCTGGAATTAAAGGTCACATGCTCAAAGTTCTTCAGTTTGAATCATCTTTATATACCACTCTTTGGAATTCAGTGGAACTATTCTCCTGCTTGAAGTTAGGCGTTTGCCTATATACCTTGATGAATTAGGGCCTCAGTCTCCAGCTGCTGATATGCACAGTTCCCTGCTCAGTTCCCCTATGTGTTCAGCAATGGATGCTTTCTACTGCTGAAGTACCATTTCCTTTGCCATGAGCGTGAGAGCATTTCCTGTCTCACACTGCAGAGACTTTACTGGTAGCAGGGCATGGGAGGCACAGTTTTGAGTGGGGGGCGGGGGAGGAGAAATGTGCTGTATCCAGTGGAAGGCGTGGTACAAGCAGGAGCACTATAGGCTGGTGGGCAAGGATGTGGATTGGAGTTTGAGGTTGTATTCCATTCCCCTGACCGACCAACGGGCCTTGGTATCAGTTTTCTAAACAAAAGGATTTGTTGATAAGATTCCACTTCATCTGTGGTGTCGTACCCTGCCTGTCTCGCATGGCTTGCTTTCCACCATAAACATCTCCATTCTCATACAGCAAAGGAGGATGTAAACTGTTCTAATGACAAATTCATCTATGGACCGATCTAAGAAAAAATAAATCGCCCAAGCAGCAGCATAATGCTCTTGAGTGCTTCCGTGGAAGATACAGAAATACATAGCAACTTAAAAACCATAGACCCTACATTTAAATCGTTCCCTTGTTTGCCAAGTTTACATTTAAATAGATGGGAAGTGAAACAAGATGTGATGTGTGAATAACTGAAATCAGAGCTGAATGGGTTGTAATACTTTGTGACCACCATGTGTAAAAGTTTTTCACTGAAATGCTGATACCTGCTTTCTGATGGACTAGTGCCTTTTCATTGTTATTGTCCTTGTCAGTAAAGCTTTAAATTTATTCATGAAGCAAGCTGGAGCTCAGGTGGCAACAGCTAAATCCATTTAGCAGTAGGAATAAGAGGAAAGCCATTTTAATGTTCTCTTGCAGTGCTGCAGTACTTAGCAAACCCAAAGGATATTAATTACTCAGCATGCTCTGAGATGTAAAAGCATGGATTTATCAAGACAAATGCATTCAGAACTAGGCTAAGTCAACAGTAATTAATGTGATGCAAAAAGACAGAAAGGAAGGATTACTGGACCTACCACATTAGAATAGCATATAGTTTAAGGGCATCATTGGGATATTAAATGATAGGAAATAGCTAAGATGTCGTGAGGCATCCTTAATAAATATATCTTCTGTTTGTCAGGTATACTCTTTGAATATGGGTATGTCCAGAATTTATATTGCCTCGAGAGAGTGAATGTTAAGTTGTATGTTTAGCAGGCATAACAGCAAATTTTATTTTTTAATATAAAAATCTTTGCTATTTGAATGTACCTTTAGGAGCGGAGTGGAGAGAGTGTGTGTCTTTTGCACAAACATTATCTAAGCCACTCCAATATTTTTATGGTGTTTAGCAAACATATAATCGTGAATACATCCACAGATGAGTGGCAGTTAGAGAGATGAATTGGTAGGCTCCACTTGACAAATTTAAGTGTAGCATGTGTATTTATACCAAATCCATTAGAGCAGACAAATGGAAAATCCAGAGATGACTGCTCTGCAATTTAACAGTCACAGAATTCTGAGAAGGCTGATGTCTTCTTCAATGTTGGTAATGGGTCAGATTTAAAAATCTCTAAAACTAAAGCAGTTTAAGCGTACAAGTCCAGCCATGCTGTATTGAAAGTTGTTTTACATTGTCAGTGAGTAATGAGTAAAGCCAATGCCAATTCTTTACCTCTAGGATATGGTGATGATTCTGATGACTTCCGTTTAGAGGATGCACTTGATGATCATTCAACCAAGCGACGTAAGTACAGTTTACAGGAAAAAGCAAATAGTGATTGTGTGTGTAACTACCTATGTGGATTATACACAGGTTAAAGGTGAGGAGTTTACATGACCCAGTCATCTTTTCCTGGTCAGATCCAGTTTCCTTAATTGTCGACAGCTAAAATAAATATTCCTCCTGCAAAATTTGTTTGTAACCTAGTGTTCCTTTGTGTTGTGATGCTGGTTAGCAAGTCACATTGATTTAGCATTCTGACAGCCTGTTAAACACATTGAACACATGCTTTTGTGTTCCTAATTACTTGTGTTGTCATTCATTCATTCCCATGTTTGCCTGGAATGCATTGTGTAATGCTTTTCTCTTCCAGCAGGTGTGAGCACTATTTCTGAGATTGTGATGTTCTGACTCTTACCTTTCTCCATTCCCTGCTTACCCTCCATGGGTATGTGTACACTGCAATTAGACACCTGCAGCTGGCCCAGGCCAGCTGACTTGGGGTCATGGTCACAGGCCTGTTTAACTGCAGTGTAGATGTTCAAGCCCTGGCTGCAGCCCGAGCCTGAATGTCTACACTGCAATTAGACAGTCCCACAAGCCAGAGCCCCCATGGGCCAACTGCAGATTTTTAATTGGTGTGTAGACATACCCTATGGCTCAGACTTTCACAAGACTCTCCCTCTTGCCTGTATTGTTTTGCTTCCACAATTGATTCCAGGAGCATTTCAATGGCTAAGTACCCTATTTGCAACCACAAAGCAAGCTCCTAGTTAATCCCTTCCCAAAACAATCAGGGATTAGGAGATTCTCCCATTTATCCCCAAAGCACTACAGAGACCCGTCCCCTCACCTCTCCCCTCCATGAGTGCCACATGGGTTCCTGCAGCCCCATTAAATGTACACAGCTGTCCTGGGACCTGGGGGAGAAGACATGGATGAATAGCCAGGAGGGAAAGAGAAATGGGGGAAGAGGCAAAGGAGTTAGGGGACTGGGCTGGGCCCACCATGCCCCCACCCAACGTTCCTCTGTGCCCCCCCTAGGGGGGGCGCACCCCGCAGTTTGGGGACCTCTGTTGTAGAGGAGGGTAGTGCTCATTGGGTATAATGAAAATCAACTCTTTTTCTACAACATTGTCACAGGATCCAGGTCTCATTATTTGAAATAGATCATCAACTGCATGATATTACAAAAATGGAAGAGTAGAGATACCCAGAATAGAGCAGTGGTATTCAGACCTATCTTAATTAGCAGCCAAAGAAAGAATAGCTGATTGCTGTATAGACCAATTATATGAAGTCAAAGAAATTTGGACCCCATTTCTAGATACACCTGGATAAAAAAAGTGTTGAGATGGCTCAAAGCATGAGAGGCCTTCATTCCACCTAACTCCTTTGCCTCTTCCCCCATTTCTCTTTCTCTCCTGGCTATTCATCCATGTCTTCTCCTACTCTATTACTGTGACCTCACCCTAACATGTTTTGTCTGTGTGATATTGTCTGGTTTTGTGTTGTTTGGTCTTTGACAAGTTGTAAAATTGCATAATTGCCTAATTCTGTTGGGTATCCAAATACCACAGGATTGTGCCACAGGAAATACATATAAGCTGTAAATCATTTACTTTTTTGTACTTTTCATTGTATGTTTCTTTATTAAAATCAATAAAAAATTCATCACTGAAAAAAGCACCACTTTCACTCAAGCTTATGCAGCATTGGGATAGCACTATCCAGTGACAAGGTCTTACCCTATTGATACCATCTCTACAGAGCACTCCAATTGGACTGGATTCAAAGTACCTTTACTACTTTAGTAGTATAATATTCTTGATGTAGTTTCATGCCATAGATCTTTTGTACACTGAAAAAAAAAAATCTGAACAGGCAAAACTTCCTTCTCCTGTAGATTAAGTTTTTCTTGGGATTCCAAATCCCCTTTAAAAAGCCAGTGAGCCATTAGTACCATTGCTAAACAGCATCTAGGGAAAATAACCTGTTTTAGTTATTTTTGTTGTATCTCATCATTTAGAGCAGATCACTTCTAAGAGGGGGATCTTATCTGGTACTTGAGAAGGCAAAGAAAACTCATTTATTATTTGTATGTTAAGGTCTGGCTTAATATCTTTCATGGCTAGGTGACACTACTATTGCAGGAGCACAGCTGTTTGACAGTGCTAGTCCTTAGATACTGTTTTACACAGAATAGACAGTTACACAGATTCTGGTCAGTTTTGCCCCAGTACAACTCTGTGGTATTCAGTAGAAGGACTTCTGATTTACCCAGACCAGACTCTGGACCATAGTCTTTCCCCTGATAAATAAATGCAAGGAACCAATCACAGCATGAAAGGCTGTTGTGTTCCCGATCCTGTCTGCTACTAGGACTTTGCAGTTCTTCTCCGTGCATTTATGGACACGTCAAGAAAATAAGTCCCTATCTAATACCTTAACCAGCATAGATCATTGTACAGCCCTGTGAACACAACCAGTGATGAGCCACATTATATCCTGGAATGGATTTGTGTGGCATCCATGGACCTCAGTAGGAACTGCCTGAATATACAAGAATGTCCCATGGTGTGCAGAAACTGTAGACCAAGTCCTCAGCTGGTGTGAATAGTTTGCTTCTCTGAAGTAAATGGAGCTACACAGATATACACCAGCAGAGTATCTGGCCTACAGAGGAAAAGACTGCTCTACTTTTACCAGAGGGTTCTTTGAAACCCATCAAGATACCCAGAATTCAGGGGTCAATTTTTCCCCCTTTCTGATCAGTGTTCCAGATGGAGCACTTGAAGAAATCCCCAAGTCCTGAAAACATCTGTACTAGTCCAAGCCAGGCAAGTTCTCAGATACAAGACTACTACAAAATCATGGCATTCCTATTAATATGTTGCTTCCCATCACACACACATGCTTTAAAGTAGTGGTTCCCACATTATAGTCCTTAGACCACTGCTGATCCACAAACCACATATTGATGATTCAGAGACAGCTAACTGCTCACATGGTGCTGCTTCTGCTCGTTTCCAGTAGCTAAAGTCAGCTGAAAATACATCAAATATCTCCCTGTTATCACTGTGCCACCTAAACAATCGCTCAAGTTGTTATTGTGACTGAGCCTGGTCTGGGTTAACTACGTTCTCAGGGATGTCAAGCATACACATCCCTGAGAAGCACAGTAAGCCGACCTAAGTCCCCATGTAGAGAGCACTAGCTACTGCCTTTTGTGGAGGTGGATTACCTACAACAAGAGAATCCGTCCCTTTGGCATAGGTAGGGTCTACCCTGAAGCACTCCAGCAGCACAGATGTGCCGCTGTAGTGTTTCAAGTGTAGACAAGCCCTGAGAAGAGGTGGGCAGGTGTTACACTCTGAGAATTGAAAGGGAGGTGGGTCCATGGGTTATGAATGGGACATGCTGTGCCCCGGTGACAGCCCATTAAAGATGTGATCCAAGCTATGAAAAGATTTGAAATCCCTTGCTTTACAGCATAAGCACAGATTTCAGGCTCTCGCAGGGCTTATTTTAGCTTCTGCTTTCTTGTACTGGAATTCACACGGGGAAGAAAAAATGCACATAATCTGAATGGGGCGATTTTCAGATCAGATACCTTGTAATCTGCCAGGGCTAGAAATGAATACTTCATCCCACTAGAAAGATGATGGATAATGAGGTATTAGACCAGTGACCACTGTAAAATCTTATTACATACCGATTGAGGACTGAATGTAGCAAGCCCAGGACCTCTCCCCTGTGTGATTTTCTATCCCTGCAGAATTACAATGACTCATACACACCTGCTGCAGGAGAACACTACTCCAGACTAAACGCTGGGACCTGGAGTGCTGTGGTTCCCAGTACAAGGGAGCAATCATCCCACAGTTCCAGGGCTATCAAATCAAGACATATCTTGAACTGCATCCTTGGACTTGAACGGATCAAGCAGCAGAAAGCAAGCACCTGAAGGAGGCTAGCTGACTTAAATCATGACACACCATTGGAAATATTGCCAGATGAGAGGCATTCTAATATTCAGAGAGACAGGCAGAAATTAATAGGATAGGTAGCCACACCTTTTGTTCATATTTTATCCATACTGAAGGTAACATGGCCCATTACTACTAACAGATATAATCAGTGGCTTGCATTATTAACCCCCCCAATTTCCCCCCCCCACACACACACTTTCACGTCTTGCCACAATGATGTCAGGAGTTGTGATATTTTCATTGACCAGATATTTTATTGACCAGAAATCAATGTAAGATAAATTCTTCTCTTAAAACAAACCCATGTGTTACTTGATGTGGTATGGTGCACTGTAGATCTTCTAATGTCATTGATTTGAGAGACCCAAGCAGGTGAGAATAAAATGTACGGCCCCTCCATGTTCTCAGGATGATTATTTGCTTTATGTGCTGGACAAGTCCTGTTGTGTTAGCAGTTGGTTTGCTGAGTCTGTTTGAAGTACATAGTTTGACACGGAGTCAAATTTTGCTCCCTGCTACACTGGACAGCAGCATGCATTAGGGTAAGTGAGGGCAGAATTTGACTGTGTGTGTGCAATGCCGTCATTGGTGTGAGCAGCATGTAGGCCCCTATCTTTCACAGGTGCTTAACTGCACATAGTCCAGTTTATTTCAGTGGGATTATGCATGTGCTTAAAGTTAAGCACCCGCATGAACTTTTGCAGGATCAGGGCCTGAGAGAGGTCTGCAAATAAAGTATAAAAGAGAGCTAATACAATGGTTTTCAATTCATACTATGATTTAATTGATGTTGAAAAGCATGTGGTTTAAGCATCCTGTAATCTTCCACGTCACATATGGGGTGTAAGCATTCTGTGATGAATAAGCCCTTGTAGTTTATTTCTAAGTCATAGTTGACAAATTTCCAGGTGACACTAGTAACTAAGGTTTTTCCTCTTTCTTTTAAATCACAGCTACTCCCAAGTTGCCCAAAAAGCCATTGGATGGAACAGGTAAGGATCCTTATTGATTTATCATTCAGAGTAATGGGTGTTTCTCTTGAAAACATTTATGGTGAGTAATGAGTTATTCTCTTACTGTGAAGAACTGGGAAACTTCTGGTTTATTGTTATGAAAGAATGTGACTCTGTTTCCCCATAGCTCGTACTGGTACATGCACATCCACCCACCCATCCCGGGAATGAAGGCATTAATTTCTTTCTTGAAACAAGACAATCAATGGAGTTAAGGTGGGAAAGTCACCTAAAGCATGAATGATCAAAAACTAAAATTACTATAAAGTAATTAATGCAAATCTGTAGACAGTTAAACAGGTGTGCGGAAGTACTGCTCCCTGGGGGAAATTGCATATCCTGGTTTTGCCTGGGATCAAGAGGCTCTGAAAGCCAAGAATTGAGAGTGGTATGAAGTGCCCTGTTTGATACAGAGCAGGGTCACTCTTATCTGAACCAGGAGCTGACATGACACCGTAACCAAGAGGGACGGACCCTCCCGAAAGGGTTTGAAGGACTTTGAAACCTACCAGGAGCTCCATGTGGAAGATGAGGACACCTGGTAAGACAGGCACACGTATAAGCTGTTCACGGTTTCCAAGATAGAGAAAACCTATAATGCTTTTGGCTCTGACTAAATCCTTTGCCTATGAAGGCTGGCTGGTCACTGGTGAGCCGTATCATAGCTTCTGGGAACGGAAGGTGCTGAGCTCATTTCAGACTGGCTAAGGTGTGCACAGCTTCAGGAGGAAATTGCAGCGTAAATCCAGTGTCTGAAGAGAGGAGAATCCCTGTTCCTACCCAAAGAAAGGTGATGGCTAAAGGCCTGAGACCTGAGTGGGGCACCTGCAAGGGGGCCATGAAGGCATCAGCGGTACTGTTACTTCGGGATCTGTGACATATATGGTGGCAGAAGTGGGATCTAGGACAAGGGTGAGTTTCCAGTAAGTGCCAACAGCCCTGACAGCAAGCACTGTTGAAGGAAAAAGCACAGAGTGTCCCATAGCCTATTTAGGATAGGAATAGGGAGAGACAAATAGAAAAGGTTAGGTGTGAACAGTTGAAGAAAGGTCAGCTGGTTGAGCCACAACTAAACTCTCAGGAGTAGGTCAACTAGCTGTGCCTTAGAGGACCAGAAAAGGAGTTGTGATCCAGGACAATGAGGGATACCCAGATCACTGACCGAGTCCAGCAGGCCCGGGAAATCGTGGAGACACCTCCGTAGTTGGAATAAGGCAAGACAACAAAAGGGGCAACTGACGGTTTACAGGTAGAGGAGGTGAGATTACAGTTGGAGGGAGATAAACTGGGCTTTGAAATCCAGCAGTTTGCAGACTGCAAGAAGCAATGATAGCCGGAGGAGAAACAGGGCTAGCACGAGCAAGAAGAGAAGGACAGGCAGCAGCAGAGAGAAAAAGTGGAGAAGAATGGGCCAGGAAACCCCTGATCCACTGAGTGGAGCCAGACCCCACGTACTTGGTCCTACGGGTGGCAGACTTCGAGGGAATGTCTAAACCGCAATTTTTAGCCCTGTGGCACAGAGTCTCAGAGCCCAGGTCAGGTGACTCAGGTGCATGGGGCTCAGCCTGCAGGGCTGAAAAATCGCAGCATACACATGCAAGATAGGGCTGGAGCCCGATTTTTGAGACCCACCCCACTCGCGTGGTTTCAGAGCCGGGGCCTCAGCCTGAGCGCAAGCAAACTGCAATTTTCATCCCCGCAGTCGAAGCCAGAGGCACCTGAGCTAGGCCAACCGCAACCATGCCCCAGGTTTTTTATTGCAGTAGAGACGTACCCCATCTTATTATCTTATTTTAGAGGAGAGGTTGACATGGATTTATTTATTAAATGCTCTTGAAACTGGGAGTGAATTGAACATGGTGCCGAAGGACGTTTTGGGGAATTCAAGATAAAAGGGGATATGAACTGTGCTGATATTGCAACCCAAAGTAGGGGGTATACAAGAAAATGGGGGACTAGTTGGGGAATTAGCACAGATGGTGACGCTTATGAGTTAATAAGTTTGGAACAGTTCTATAAACTCTGCTGCCCTGACCTGAAATCATGGTTAATAGACAAAAATCTGAGGGAAGTATGTGTAGGTGAGAAACTGGCGGATCATGTGACTAGCTGGCCTGGGTTTGATTAAAAAAAATGTAACAGGGAGGGAATGGGACCAGGGAAAAGGGGTCAGGGTCAAACAGCGACCCACCCCCAGCTGGGAGACCTCCTCCAGTGGGAAGAAGGCCACCTCAGAATGACCCCAAAGTGAGTGGGGAAAAGCATTGAGTCACCTCCTCCAGGATTGCCCAATGCACCCAATGAGGCCCAGTGTTTGTCCTGGAAAAGCCACTGGTAGGTAAACCTTGCAGATAACTCTGTGGGAGAGGACTTGTCTACATGGCCCTGCAGCGCAGCATGCACTGAAGCCTTGTGCTGTAGCTGCCCTGCATAGACCCTGAGAGCGCGAACTAAAGGTACCGAGTTCACGTTAACATAGTCCTGTTTCAGACAAGCCCCTGGAGGGAGGGAGTCACACAGAGAGTCCTATTCTCCTGGGTGCAGATCCATTGGGTTCCCAGTGGCAGCGGAACTTGGTGGGAGTTAATGGAGAGACATTGATGGGATGGAGAGATTCTGGAACAGACAGCACAGCGGTTAGACCCTGTGTAGTGAAACTACATCACAGGCTGAAAGGGTGACCATTCCTAGTGTGAAGCCCTTTGCACTGCCTGCAGCCCAGATTTTGATGCAGACACAGGAAGGGGCTGTTGTTTGGGATCCTGAATGAAACACCTTTCAACGTGCTTCTTGGAAGTTAGGTTATGGCTTTAGAACCCATCCAGCTTTCTCCTGGGACGGCAGAGTATCTGAATCTGACCTGTACAATTCACTATAAGAATGTGTATGAAATGGTCAGCCAGAGTGCAACTGGAGTAGCTGACAGGGAGAAGGGTGGGGGTGGGTGTTAGTCACCTTCCTCCTGCCTAAAACAAAGGGAAAGCAGGGTTAAGCTCAGGTGCCCAGTGTATGAAAACAGATACCTGGGGGAGACGAGGCCACCGCCCGCTCCCACAAAGAGAGGAGTCTTTTAGGGCTCAGATTTTCCTAGATGCGATAGCTGATGGCCTTCACCAAGTAGTTGCTGAACCAACAAGAGGGGATGCCATTTTAGATTTGGTTTTGGTGAGGAGTGAGGACCTCATAGAAGAAATGGTTGTAGGGGACAACCTTGGTTCGAGCGATCATGAGCTAATTCAGTTTAAACTAAATGGAAGGATAAACAAAAATAGTTCTGTGACTAGGGTTTTTGATTTAAAGAATTTAAAGAAATTAAGGAAATTAGTTAGGGAAGTGGATTGGACTGAAGAACTTGGGGATCTAAAGGTGGAGGAAGCCTGGAATTACTTCAAGTCAAAGTTGCAGAAACTATCAGAAGCCTGCATCCCAAGAAAGGGGAAAAAATTCATAGGCAGGAGTTGTAGACCAAGCTGGATGAACAAGCATCTCAGAGAGGTGATTAAGAAAAAGCAGAAAGCCTACAAGGAGTGGAAGATGGGAGTGATCTGCAAGGAAAGCTACCTTATTGAGGTCAGAACATGTAGAGATAAAGTTAGAAAGGCCAAAAGCCATGTAGAGTTGGACCTTGCAAAGGGAATTAAAACCAATAGTAAAAGATTCTATAGCCATATAAATAAGAAGAAAACAAAGAAAGAAGAAGTGGGACCGCTAAACACTGAGGATGGAGTGGAGGTTAAGAATAATCTAGGCATGGCCCAATATCTAAACAAATACTTTGCCTCAGTCTTTAATGAGGCTAATGATGAGCTTAGGGATAATGGTAGGATGACAAATAGGAATGAGGATATGGAGGTAGATATTACCACATCCGAGGTAGAAGCCAAACTCGAACAGCTTAATGGGACAAAATCAGGGGGCCCAGACAATCTTCATTCAAGAATATTAAAGGAACTGGCACATGAAATTGCAAGCCCATTAGCAAGAATTTTTAATGAATCTGTAAACTCAGGGGTTGTACCGTATGACTGGAGAATTGCTAACATAGTTCCTATGTTTAAGAAAGGAAAAAAAAGTGATCGAGGCAACTACAGGCCTGTCAGTTTGACATCTGTAGTATGCAAGGTCTTGGGAAAAAATTTGAAGGAAAAAGTAGTTAAGGACATTGAGGTCAATGGTAATTGGGACAAAATACAACATGGTTTTACAAAAGGTAGATCGTGCCAAACCAATCTGATCTCCTTCTTTGAGAAGGTAACAGATTTTTTAGACAAAGGAAATGCAGTGGATCTAATTTACCTCGATTTCAGTAAGGCATTTGATATGGTTCCACATGGGGAATTATTAGCTAAATTGGAAAAGATGGGGATCAATATGAAAATTGAAAGGTGGATAAGGAACTGGTTAAAGGGGAGACTACAACGGGTCGTACTGAAAGGTGAATTGTCAGACTGGAGGGAAGTTACTAGTGGAGTTCCTCAGGGATCGGTTTTGGGACCAATCTTGTTTAATCTTTTTATTACTGACCTTGGCACAAAAGTGGGAATGTGCTAATAAAGTTTGCAGATGACACAAAGCTGGGAGGTATTGCCAATACAGAGAAGGACCGGGATATCATACAGGAAGATCTGGATAACCTTGTAAACTGGAGTAATAGTAATAGGATGAAATTTAATAGTGAAAAGTGCAAGGTCATGCACTTAGGGATTAATAACAAGAACTATTGTTATAAGCTGGGGAGGCATCAGTTGGAAGTAACAGAGGAGGAGAAGGACCTTGGGGTATTGGTTGATCACAGGATGACTATGAGCCGCCAATGTGATATGGCCGTGAAAAAAGCTAATGCGGTCTTGGGATGCATCAGGCGAGGTATTTCCAGTAGAGATAAGGAGGTGTTAGTACCGTTATACAAGGCACTGGTGAGACCTCATCTGGAATACTGTGTGCAGTTCTGGTCTCCCATGTTTAAGAAGGATGAAGTCAAACTGGATCAGGTTCAGAAAAGGGCTACTAGGATGATCCGAGGAATGGAAAACCTGTCTTATGAAAGGAGACTCAAAGAGCTTGGCTTGTTTAGCCTAACCAAAAGAAGGCTGAGGGGAGATATGATTGCTCTCTATAAATATATCAGAGGAATAAATACCAAGGAGGGAGAGGAATTATTTAAGCTCAGTACCAATGTGGACACAAGAACAAATGGATATAAACTGGCCATCAGGAAGTTTACACTTGAAATTAGACAAAGGTTTCTAACCATCAGAGGAGTGAAGTTCTGGAACAGCCTTCCAAGGGGAGTAGTGGGGGCAAAAGACATATCGGGCTTCAAGACTAAGCTTGATAAGTTTATGGAGGGGATGGTATAATGGGACAGCCTAATTTTGGCAATTAATTTGTCTTTGACTACTAGCGGTGAATATGCCCAATGGCTTGTGATGGGATGTTAGATGGGGTGGGATCTGAGTTACTACAGAGAATTCTTTTCTGGGTGTCTGGCTGGTGTGTCTTGCCCACATGCTCAGGGTTTAGCTGATCGCCATATTTGGGATTGGGAAGGAATTTTCCTCCAGGGCAGATTGGTAGAAGCCCTGGGGGTTTTTCACCTTCCTCTGCAGTGTGGGGCACTGGGGGTCACTTGCTGGAAGATTCTCTGCACCTTGAAGTCTTTAAACCATGATTTGAGGACTTCAATGGCTCAGACACAGGTTTGATACAGGAGTGGGTGGGTGAGATTCTGTGGCCTGCATTGTGCAGGAGGTCAGACTAGATGATCATAATGGTCCCTTCTGACCTTAAAGTCTATGATTCTAGACTGCCTGAGTCCTGTCCACAGGCTAGGGAAAGAGGCTAGCCCTCTGCCCGCCCACACCAAGGAAGTTGAGGCAGCGCAGAGCATGGTTGTGACTGAATCCCCAGCTGCAAGAAGGGAAACCGAGGCAGGTAACGAGTACTGCCAAAGTGATGATACCAACTCTGGGATGGGAAGCACACAAGTAAAGCACACAACAGCTGCTTGGGAGATTGCAGAGGTGACTACAGTCAGGAAGGGGGGAGGCAAGTTATTCTCTCCTGTCTATAACCCACTGACGGGCTTTGAGAATGTGAATGACTGAACAGGGTGGGAGAGGAATCGCCGCTCACCTAGTCTCTGCATTTTGGAAACTAAAGGCAAACCCAGTGGGGCATGGGGTCAGGTTCTGCCTTCTCCTCCACAGAGAGCTGGAGGTGATGCCATGGGGTCCGGAGTCCCTGACCTACAGGGAGGTAGGGCATAGAAAGGATTTTGGCTCTGGGGAGGGTTGAAGATTCTCGCTTGCCAAAAGTTTGGGGTCCCTCAGTGGCTAAAAGCACTGCATGGTTAAAAAGCAGCTTTGCGAGGAGCCAGGCCTATCTGACCATGGAGTTACTTCCTATAATTCCCCAGTGGGGGAATCTCCAAGGCACCACCAGGGCAGCCGACCCTTTGAGGAACAAAGGGTCGCCATCCTCAATCCGTAGATGCCAGATGAGAGGTGGGAGTGGAAGTTCTGGGATAAGTAGGGGCAGATGAGAGCTCTCCTTGGAAATGCACCTAGGAGATTCTGAAGGGGAAAAATAGATGGGTCGGATGTCAAATGGCTCTGTACTGCTTGATGACCAGTACATCAGGCGTAATGAGTAAAGCCAATGCCACTTATTTGTCTGTAGGATATGGGGATGGTTTGGACGATTTCAGTTTGTCAGATGCACTGGATGACCTTTCCACCAAGCGACGTAAGTAACGTTTTGACAGGAAAATCACAATGAGCGGGCGGTGGTCAAAATGTCAGATACTATGATTCTTCTTTTTGTCCAGGACTGGTGTGTCCATGATTTAATATACTCAACTGCAGCTCCTGCACCACAGGGCTGGGCCAGCTTCCCGCACTGGACACACGGGGTCAAGCACCACGCAGGTTTGGCCCAGCTGCCCTTCGATCGTTAGGGTGGAGGGGTGGCCAGGCCAAATTTGAGTGCGTGTTGCTGAGCGCCCATATGCCAGGTCACACCACCACTCACTCAAATATGGCCTGGTGGCTGGCTTCCCCTTCCCATACCCCGCATACCATGACAGAGGGGTGGCCAGTCCAAACCTGAGTGACACCACGACCTCACGATTCCTGGAGCGGAGAGTCAGGCTTAGCCCTGTGGGACAAGAGCCAGCTTTGCAGGGTGTGCATGAGGTGGGCTTGCTGGGCAACCCGCCCCTGGAGGCAGGACCCAGTTTCCCATCCCCCTCCCCTAAGACCATCCATCCCAGGAACAGGAGCTAACACCCCCACCCTGCATGCCTGCCCCACTTTAAATGGCACTCCCATTACTTTACACACCATTTTGCCCATAACCCTTGACCTTTACTAAATTTACCATGGCTGCTCCTTGATAAAAATGCCATGGCAGTCTTCAGCCCTAATCACAACGCACCATTGGAAAAATCACCAGCTTAAAGGTGTCCCGATATTCAGAGACACAGGCAGAAATTAATAGGAACAGGGCAGCCACACCTTTTGTTCATATTTTATTCATACTCATGGTAATACAGCCCATTACTAGCAAACATAAGTCGTTTACAGTATTTAAAAAAAACCCCAGACTTTGGCCTCATACAATATTGACAGTATCAGGAGTTGCAATGTTTTCCTGTTACTAGAAAGCTCTCATTGACCAGAAATCAATGCAAGATAAATTCTTCCTGTAAAACATCACTCTCTGTTACCTGGCGAGGTGTGGGGCGCTTAGATCTTTTATTGTCACTGATCTGGGAGACCAAGCAGGCGGGAATAAAAGTTTATGGCATCTCCACATCCACAGATGTGTTATTTGCTTTATGCACTGGACAAGTCCTGTTGTGTTAGCAGTTGATTTGCCTAGTCTCTGTTTGAAGTACATAGTTTGACCGGGGATCAAATTCTGCTCTCTGCTACAGTGGACAGCAGCATGCATTATGGTAATTGAGGGCAGAATTTGACTGTGTGTGTGTAATGCCGTCATTGGTGTGAGCAGCACGTAGGCCCTGATTTTGCACAGGTGCTTAACTGTACATAGTCCAGTTGATTTCAGTGGGATTACTCACATGCTTAGAGTTAAGCACCTGCATGAATTTTTGCAGGATCAGGGCCTGAGAGAGGGCTGCAAATGAAGTATAAAAGAGAGCTAATACAATGGTTTTCAATTCATACCATGATTTAATTAATGTTGAAAAGCATGTGGTCTAAGCATCCTGTAATCTTCCACGTCACATATGGGGTGTAAGGATCCTGTGATGAATAAGCTCTTGTAGTTTATTTCTAAGTCACAGTTGACAAATTTCCAGGTGACACTAGTAACTAAGTTTTTTCCTTTTTCTTTTAAATCACAGCTACTCCCACGCTACCCAGAAAGCCATCGGGTGGAACAGGTAAGGTGTCCTTATTCATTTATCATTCAAACAAAATAATTGGTTGTTTGTCTTGAAAACATTCATTTTAAGCAATGGTTTAATTCACTGCTGTGGAGAACTGGGAAACATCAGATTTATTTTTTATGAAAAAATGTGACTCAGTTTCCCCCATACCTTGTACCACACTCTGGGTGAAATTGCATATACTTGAGTGGGTTCAAGGGGCCTAGCAAGAAAAGAACTGAGTGTGGTAGGAGGTGGCCGGTCTTACGTAGAGGAGGGTCAAACCCAGGGCCGGCTCTGGCTTTTTGGCTGCCCCAAGCAAAAAAAACAACAACAAACCTGCGGTGCGGCGGGGGGGGGGGGGGGGGGAGGGAGCGGGTGGGAGAGAGAGAGAAGGGGGCGGCCAGGGCTACAGCAGGGGTGCTGCCACGTGGCCCGTCCCGCTGCGCCGCCTCCTGCCGCCTGCCGCAAGGGCTCCGCTCCGGTCGGCGGGGAGGGAAGGAAGAGGACTGCCCTGCAGGGCGCTCTGGTTCTCCGCGCCGCCGCCCCCTACAGGGCGGCCGGAGCAGAACAAAAACAAACAAACAAAAAAAAGCGGCCGTGCCGCCCTAGGATTGGGCAGAATGCCGCCTCCAACAATCTGCCGCCCCAAGCACCAGCTTGCTCAGCTGGTGCCTGGAGCCGGCCCTGGTCAAACCAGGAACTGACAGGGGCTCCAGGTGTAAGATGGGGGTCATCTGGTAAACCATGTGAATAAGCTGTTTGTTTTTAACGTATGTTTTCTCTGTATTGCTGTTGGTTCTGAATAAGTCCTTTGCTTTTTGAAGGCTGGGTGGTTGCTGGACACCTGCTTCTAGCCTCTGTGGTAGAACAGGACTGAAGGTGCTGCACTAAGTTCAGACTTGCTAAGATGATCAGAGGGAGCAGCAGGAGGAAATTGCAGCAGAAATCCTCAGTCTGGAGGGAGACAGACCTGTTCCTGTCTCAGGCTAGAGGCCTGAGATCTGAGTCCGCCTCAAGCAAGCCAGGAAGGGTCAGAGGTGTAGATACCACAGGAACTGTGCACCTACAAGAGATGTGCCCATGACAGGAACTGCCACATTCGGCGGCTTCAGTGACTTGTTACAGTAACACACAAGCATCAAGACTAGAATTACAAAGGGTTTAGAAGAGCTGTGCTAGCAGGATGCTCTTATGTTATCTCTTAGCACCGGCAAGCCCTAGTCCTGGCCCAGGACCCCACAGTGCATGGTGCTGCACAAACACAGAACATACACAGTCCTTGCCCAAAGAGCTTGCAATGTACAGTGCAATAGCTGCCATTTTTCAAAACTGTTCTAAACTTTTTTGAAATCTGCTTCTGTAGTGCAGGATGGACGTGTGAGCAAGGCCCTGGCGGGGCTCAGGAAATCTAGGTTCAGTTCCCAGCCCTTCTGCTGATTCCTTTGTGACCTAGGGCAAGTGTCTTAATGGTTTTGCGCCTTAGTTTCCGCAGTAATAATGCCCTACTGCCTCACATGTTTCCTGCTCGAAGAATGGCAGCCCCTTGCTTTCCTTCCGTGTGTAAACACAACAAACTATTCTCGGTTCCATTTTTCTCGTACGTGTTTCTTATCATCCCTGACACAGGAAATCTCTGTTGAAACAGTGCAGTTCTAACTAGCTGTGGGGAGACACTTCCCCCACTCTGTGCCTTTTCAAATGCCCTTGCTGATTAGATACAGGCACATTTGAGTGTCTGCTCAGGACCCATTTGAGGAAACTTGCTTGGTGAAAGTTTTACCATCTGCAATTTCTCCAGCTCGATTCCAGCCAAATGTCAGCTGAAATGTAGATGGGTCAACTGAGTAACAGCTCAGCCCTTCAGCTTGAAATAACTGCAGCAAGTGAGAGAGCTCCAGAAACGAACACACTCACTAGCCAAAGCAAACCCAACCTAACCCTTTGGCCAATATGGCTTTCATTCGGGATGCCAGGAAGACCCAGGTGGAAACCGCGTCATGTAACATCTGCTGAGCATCCGAAGAAGTGGGTATTCACCCACGAAAGCTCATGCTCCTATACGTCTGTTAGTCTATAAGGTGCCACAGGACTCTTTGCAACTATATTTCTGAGCTTCAAGAACAACTCCAGCAGAATAAAGAGATTAAACTTCGTAACAGGGGACATCAAAACTATCGGAATGAAAAAGTGTGAGCCAGATGCTTCCCTCCATTCTCGTGGTGCAAAGGAGTGGGAAAGCTAGCGTAACTGGCCATCTAGGGGTTCCCCCAGGAATCCTGGGAAAGTGCAGCAACTAGCATAGCTGGTTCCTGTGTCCCCCAGTGGAGAGGGTATGTTGGGGTGTGTCCTGAACTCTGGCAAGCCTTGGAAGCCCATACAAACTTCCTGCAGCCATAGCCCCTGAGGCTGCTCTAAGATATATCGGGGTCAAGGCTAGCACAGACACTGTGGAGGATCAGAAAGCCAGAAGGGCTCATTGTCCTGCTCAGTTTCATTCTCCTCTATTAAAATAAAGGAGGAACAAAAAGCCAGAAGAGAACTACACCATAAACTAGCTGTTAAGCTAGTACCCAACAAAAGCCAACCACTGCGCAGAGGGGAACAATTCAGCTGCATTTAACTGTTAGTGAGCAAACAGATATAGGCAGGGAGAACAAGGCGAGTATTAATGGGACATGGGAGAAGGTTCAGAAGCTCACCATATCCAGCTCAGATACCACAGTGATAGGCACCTTACAAGAACCTAGGTTATCACTGGTCCCTGGCTATGATCCAACACCAGTCCCGGTATGCATAATACATACAATTCTGGATCATGCATGTCACACCATGTTCCATTTTTCAGTCAGCAAGTTTTCCACATTAGAAAAAGACACCATGGTGTGAAATCCTGGCCCATTGAAGTCAATGGCAAAGCTCCCATTAATTTCAATGTGGCTAGGAATTGACCCCATAAATCCATGTGATTTTGGTCAGTGGATGCAGGTGCAGGATTGATGGTAAGGAGCAGTCTGCTAGCTTTATTTCCATATGTGGCTGGGAACTGCTAGTTGCATGGTAGGATTTGCACTTAGCAGACTGGCTCTAGCATTCAGCTGACAGGTCACATCTGGCTTTCCCATACAGTGCACTTCTGTAAATAGCGATTGCACTGTAGATAAGAACTATGAACACTGGGATTTAGCCAGCTGTATATCTCAACATGCCTTTAACATGTGGACACGGGGTGCCTGCTCTGGATTCAGTCTCCGGTGAGAGAAGTCATTTGATTCAAAATGCCTCGCTGAGAACTTGAACTCGTCTCCTTTGCCCCAGAACATTTCTTGTTCTGACCTGATTCTCTCCAGTTTCCATGTCTAGCTCACACAGCCAAGGTTCGTAGCACTGTTCCAGAAGCTAGATGGGCATTTACAACTAATTCCCTTTAGTGAGCTCTGCCCTTCAGAGGTTCCCTCAGAACACAGCCTGGCAGATGTGCCAAGGCACTGCGTGTTCTTGGGCAGCCCTCCCTTTAAAGTACCATTTCCATTCTCTGGCTTGTCCTGTGCTCTGAGCTTTCCCTAGTTGATTAGATTCTGAAATCCCTTTCTGTCCTCACTCCAATTTGATAACATGTAACTTGCTCAACCCTATGTGTAGAGGACACCTCTGTGATCAGGCGGGGAGAACAACACACACACACGCACACCACATTTCTGGCTCTAATGAGCAAGATGCTCTGTTCTAAAGAAAGCCTTTTTCTGGGAAAGCATGCAATTAAGTTATTCTTTCTATTGCATTTCCAGTATTGCCTTGACAACTGCAAGCATTTCCCTTAACACTTCTCACAGCATTTTGTGTCCATTATAAGAGAGCATCTGTGGGAGGAAGGGGAGAACCCTCCCCCATTGCAGTACTATGGGTCTAGGACACACAATAGGTCCAGATCTAGGAGATAAGGTGGCAAATTAGGTTGTAGTCAGTTTAATCTGAAAGTTTTGCAATGGGATTGTATTCTGACAAGCAGAGCTCTGGGGTATATAGATACCTTTTCTCAGCTGACCCATTGTGAATCTTTGTATCTTACTGATTAAGTCACACTGATCTCTATGTACAATTTCTCTGTGTGAGAAATGACAAGGCAGCCATGAGCCCATGTTTCCCAGCAGGCACTACAGGTAAATGTTCTAATGCTGCCTTTAAGAAAGAGAATTAAGGCTGCAGAGCTCCTGGGAGGTTGGCCACAGGAGTGGGCCACATGTGGGCTCAGGGCCATTGATAAGGTTCTGCAGAAAATAAACCTGCACAGTGCAGGCTCTTCACGTTGACGTTGAATGGTATGCATCTCCTGCCTCGTGCAGTCACAGAAAGCTTTTCAACAGCAGAGTCATGCTGACAGAATCATGCTGTTTACACAATGATGAGACTAGTCGCGCCGCCAGTGCTGCGAGAGCTCTCTCGCAGCGCTGTATGTACTCCACCTTTCCCGGGGGGGGGGGGGGGGGGGAGGGGCGTTTTCACACCCCTGAGCGCAGCAAGTTGCAGCGCTGTACAGCGCCAGGGTAGCCAAGGCCTTAGTGTCCATATAGTGCTTTGGGGCCACAACTGAGTCCTTCCCAGCTATTAAAACACCCTTACAAGAGAGACTTAGTAATGCACAGTATTAACCATTGGATAATCTTTTTAACGAAGTGTGGTATTCCCTCCTCATTGGGCAGAAGATAATGGATATTCCAGCCCTGAATGCAACTCACATTGGAATCTAATCTCTACTGATGGAGCGCCCAGTGGTTGGGCAGTTGCTCACATACTATAATCATCATCATACTCTGGGTGACAAAAGTGCACAGTATTGCTAAAGAGCCAAACTAGAACTGGAGTTTAAAAGGAGCCTCCCTTACCCCTTCCTAGAATTCCTGGAAGGAGCGATGTATGCAACAACAACAGTCCTCTGATACTCAGCAGTGTCCTCAGGCCTTAGCAATTACAGCCATCGTGGCATGTGTTCTAATAGAGAGATACGTACCAGTGTGTTCTGCGCATGTGGGTATTTGAACGCAGCTCCGCAGAACAGATAGAAAGGAGGAGTGTTTGGTAATCTCAGGTGAGCAAACCCCAGAGCACTAGAGTATTGGGAGGGTCCTGGCTTTGTAGCACAGGCCCCTGGCTTGTACTCCACCCCGCCACCCCCAGTCTGATGTGCTGGAGCTACAAAGGCCTGGTAGCATGTCTTTTTATTGCCTGGTGAGCTTTTGTAATGTAACTTTGTTGTGGTCTTGTTCCTTCAGATGATATTAGTTTATGGGATGTGATCCACACCACCACAACCAAGAAGCCAAAAACCACCAAGGCCCCGCCCAAAAAGAATCCAGGTAAGTGCTAGTTCTTGGGGCGTCAAGAGCTAGTTCCAAAGGAGGAGAAGCTAGCAGTGCACAAACTGGAGAAGTGGTGGAAGCAAGCCACAGCCTCTCCAAGCACTCACCTTCTGCCTCACCTATCCCCAGACCCTTTTATTTGCATCCTATTTTTATTTTGTTCACTCAGTAGTCCTGGAAAGTAGGGGGTCTGGTGTATCCACCTTTACCCCATGGACACACTGAGCTGGTCCTGCCTGGTAGCTCCAGCTACTTTGGAAGAGTTTTACTTTGCATTTAAAAACAAACCCAGCAAATTGTGTATAGCCCTGACGTCTGTGAAGAAAACATTCCAGACATAAAGCAATGAAGCGCTGTTTCAGGCACCCCACTGAAGTCAATGGAGACGTCAGTGGAGTTGTACCTGGTTACACCAGCAGTGAAATTAGCTCCAAGATTCTAGACAGATAATCTGAAACATTATTGTCGCTGAGACTTTCTCCCACGTGTTTCAATGGGGGTGTTGACTCTGAAACCTAATGACACCAAGCACTATTAATTAATTAATGGAGATATCCTATCTCCTAGAGCTGGAAGGGACCTTGAAAGGTCATCAAGTCCAGTCTCCTGCCTTCACTAGCAGGACCAAGTACTGATTTTGCCCCAGATCCTTAAGAGCCAATCATTTTGCCAGGTATTGTGGGCAGTTTTGGCGATTTAAAATCTTGCTCTGCTTTGAGAGAGCAATCTTACTTTTCCGCCAATGAAAGAGTCAAAAAATTCAATTGGCTCGGTTACATTTCTGCAGTAGTCATTTAATAAACATAGTAGGAGGCTGTTCTCTGTTTAAACTTAAATTCTCAGGATACACAGCAATGTGTTTTCCTTTATCCTTTTGTTTTTCCCCACTACTGACTATTTCAGTCAGTAAAGGTGCATCTCAGAAAATACTTCCTTGTCCTTTAAGATTCCTCCCTCCCCCCTGCCTTATTTCCACACTCTGAACACATAGAATTGTCTATTTTGTTCTGCCCTTTTCTCTCCTGCTTGATTTATATGATTTCCTGGCATTTGATCCACTATGCAAGACAATTTCTGCAAGAAGAATGACATTTATCACAACACCAGCATGAGAGCACAAAACCAAATGAATTGCAAATATCTCCCATGATATTATATGTTTAAACTGAAAAAAAAAAAAGTCAGTTACTTCATCTTTCCCATTGACACTGTCTGACAGGGTTGAGAATTTTCTTTCTTAAGAACCTTTGTCAGAACTAAGGGATTAGATCAAGGAATGTTGAATGAAGTACCTTGGAACTCTTGGTCCAAGATAGTAACCAGTATGGTATTTTATAGCAAAGGATCCTGCGGACTTTGACTTATCCGATGCGCTAGATGATCAGAATGATGGGAAAGGCGGTGGGAAACCAAATGTAAAACCTGGTGAAGGTACGTAAATTAACTTTCTTACTCTGCGCTAGATCCTGCAGCGTAAAGCTGTCTATCCTTCTTCTTACGACTCGGGGGAATGCAAAACACAGTGGGAATGAACAGAATAGACCCACTGGGACAGCGCCTCCCTTTCAGATGATTACAGTGGAGCTTGTGCTGGTTTACATCAGATGAAGGGCGCTTCCCATCCCTGCATCAAGTCGATACGTAGTTTTCATTGTTCAGTGCATCCTTTCATTTAAGCAATGAATTGTTGCAAATGACAAAGTTGGAGGAAGTGAAGAGATTTAAAGCTGCAAGAGCTGGAGATTGGCTTTTTCAGAGCATTAGCTCTTCCTCTAGCCTCTCATGTAAATTTATGGCATTTCCCTGTCTTTCCCTTAAACATGACAGGCCAAGTTCTTCCCTTGGATAGAGCATACAAACTCTCCCTCTCCCTCTTTAGAGTGGCACACACATACCTGAAGGCCAAATAGGACTCTGCAAATTCAGGGCTTTCTTCACGGAAATCAATGGATCAAGCCCATAAAGAGGGATGAGGAGAGAACATCTGTTATTGCAGAATTAATTAAAGGGAGATAATATATTTTGTATTAAAGGCCTTGCCTAGCGTCTCATTGGCTATTTACACATTTACGTATTTGTCCCCTTGTTTTATTTCTTATTGTCCCTGTGACTCATGAGCTACTGGCAGGTCTGCTGTGTTGTCCCTACCTGATAGCTTATTGACTGAATGGTACGTGCCCTTTGACTCTTCGTCATTATCAAGACACACAAATCCAGAGCAGTCCTAATTCCCAGCCCAATATAGAATATGGGCTGGACTTAACTGGGCTGGGAGGCCTCTTTCCATTCCCAAAATATTACAGGTGGAGGCTCATTTGTCTGCAGTTATTGTTCCTTGAGCACCGATCTAGAAAAGACTTGCACAACCTTTGCATAGAATAAACTACTATACCGCTTGTGTAATTAATAAACAGATATTACATTAGATTTTATTAGCTAGGTGACTTGCAAGTACTTTGATTTCAAGGTTTGTTTAAATATATTAGACTTGTTGAGGAAAATCTAAAGAGTCAGTGTGTCAGTACCAAGTGTCAAAAACTAGCCTCTCTCATGATAATTTATACCCCATCTTAATCAGCATTGATACAACTTACATTTTGGCCTCCATTCAATTTGTTAGTTTTGTTTTTAATCTTATTGCAAATCCTAAATCCATAAATGCTGTTTTCTGTGACCAGTTAATGAATAGAGAATCCTGTTCTAGGCTCGAAAGGTAAAGATAACCCTTCAAGAGGTGGAAAACAGGGTAAGGAGTCTTGTACTGGCTCCCAGCCGTACCTCTTTCCTTTTATGAATCTCAGCTTTCTGGCACCCGCTTTACTAAGCACTGAAAACTTCTGTTACTCCTCTTCTATCTGCAAAATAAATTGGGAATGTAATGGTTTGAATATCTACACTATTTTTCCTATTAATTCAGGACTGTTTTGTATTTCTCCATTTCAATTTTGCATGTATTAAACTTATTTTCTCAGCGATTTTATCTCAGCTACTTGTGTTAGAAATGTGTTCATGCACAATCCTTCTGCTGGAGATACTCCAGTAACAAACAAACAAAAAAAAGCCAAATGCAGTAGCATCCCACGATGAGAGGCCAGATACTCTTTTCTGTCAAGATCTGCTCAGTGCAAGAGAGAGGTGGGGCTCTCAGGGAGCCGTTATGCTCTGCCCTTCACAGCCACATTGGTTAGAGCAGCCTAGGGGTTGTTCTAATCTATGTCAGCTGACAGTCGTTCCTAAGGGACTGTACACCAGCTGAGAACTAGAGGAGCACAGCAGCATTCCACCAGGGCTGGAATGGGGATAGTGCAACAACCTGCTGAAAGCTCCCTCTTGCCTCCAGCTCTTATTCCTTCAATAAAATGCCTGGAGTCTGGCTGAAAGTCTTTTTTATGCTGCCCTTGTACATGAAGTCTGCTGACTGTATGTTGTGAAATACAGACCTCGTGATCCTTAAAATAGGCCCCATATTTATTTTCATTAAACACTGTCTGTTGAGCTACTTTTAAGCAAGAGAGGTTTAATAAAAAATAAAGAACATCAGCTCAAACAAGCAAGGAAGTTAAGTCCTATTTGAGGGAGAAAAAGGTTTCCTTAAACATTGCCAAGCCTGTGGGATGCAATTTGGATGCTCAGTATGTGCTTGTAGCTTACACATAATATGCTTAACTCTTTGAGGAAAGCACCTGTTTTCCAATTCCCATGTTGTACTTTTCAGGAGCCTTCAGGACTAGATTCACAAGGGGGATTTAGGTATTGTAATACTGAACATTGCAGTGCCTAACTTAGGGCTTGTCTACACTTACTGGGGGATCGACGCACAGCAATCAATGCATCGGCGGTCGATTTAGCAGGTCTAGTGAAGTCCCACAAAATCGACCACAGATTGCTCTCCCGTCAACTCCTGTACTCGACCAGATCGAGAAGAGTAAGGGGAGTCGAGGGGAGAGCATCTCCCGTCGACATTGCATAGTGTGGACCCCATGGTAAGTAGATCTAAGCTACGTCGATTTGAGTTATGCTATTCATGTAACTCAAATTGCGTAGCTTAGATCGAATTTCCCCTGTAGTGTAGACAGGGCCTTAGGAATCCAGATTCACAACCCCAAATTAAGTGCTCAGACTCCCCACATAATGCACAGAGAGAGTTGGACACCTATCAAAAGAATTCACAGAAGCCAGCATACTAAACGGGGAGCTGCCTAAGGTAGCCAATAGGAAATGCCGAGGGAGACGATTGGGGCCTAAGCCCAACCCCTCCAGAGAGAGTTAAATGCCTAATACTGGATTCACAGCCACGAACCCTCTCTTGGAGTCAGGCATCTGTCAGTCAGTCTCTTCTCACAAAAAAGGTTGGTGCCACCCTTATATGCCATAGTCCAGTGATTAGAGCACTTCTCTTGAGTGTGGGAGATCTGGGTTCATGTCCCAACTCTGTCTGGTTTGGAACAGGGATTTGAACCTAGGTGTCCCATATCCCATGGAAGTATCCTGACCACTGGGCTATAGAATCATTCATTGTCCAGCTCTGTCCCAATGAATATTGATTTATTTATACAGAGTGGAACTTCAAGCAAAAGAGATTGAGACATCCCCACCCTGGTGGTCCAGGCACTCCCCTCAGGACTTTTGGATGAGGAGGCCTTTTCAGAGACAGCTCACTTACAATTGAATTTTGAGAGACTTTACGCACCTCTCCTTTGTAAATAATGCAGACTTGGTATGACTTAAAATTGGTTCTGCATTGCTCCATGGGAGACTTTTTCAATAGGCAGCCAGGGGTTGCACAAGCCAGAATTGGTCCAGAGCCCATTTTGTACCAGCTGACACGAGTGCAATGAGAACCATTCTGAAGAGCCAAGGGCCTGACTTTTTCTTGGAGCTGAGCATTGGCCTTGCCCACAAACAGCAGATGCTCAAGACTTCTGCAAGGGCCTGAATCTAAAGTCAGTGCCATTGACTTCAATGGGCTTTGGATCAGCCCAAAAATAAGGCCCTAGTGCTCAAGTTGGATAAAGCCAATGAAAGGCATCTGGGAGTAGATAGAGAAATTGCTGAACTAATTCTTTTGGCAAACCAGCCTCCCTCCCCTTGCATGCTCTTCGCGCCCTCCCTCCCCCCCATGTCTTGTGGTTTCATACTAACCAATATTAATATTTTCAGTTATTAGTTAAATGAGAAAATCAGCCTCTGTATGAATACAATTATGTACCAGACCCAAGCAAGTACTGCATGAGCACCAACAGAAAGTATTAACAGACAATAGACCAGTGGGACGCTCTTGATCTCTGCCATTCCTGAACTTGGAGTACAGTGAAACGGTGAGATGTCCACACAGATGGGAGCTCCTCTTGAATTCAGAGTTGGGATACTTATGAAGTTCAGTTCAGAAGACAGACTGCACTTAAATTATATTGTCTACATAGAGGTGATGCAGCTCAAATGTGGCATTAAGTGAATAGCTGTGTAATAGACGGTAGATTTGTAAGCAAGAGACACTGTCCCTTTTGCATAACCCAGCAGATCTGTCATTCCCAAAGCACAATGTGGGCACTGTCAGGGAAGTAACATTTCAGCGAGATACCTAATTGCTGATGCTTATCAGCTTCTCACCCTCTCCTGCTCTCTACAAATCCAACACAGTGCCACCTGCAACCCTTCTGGATGGTTTGGCAGAGAGCTTTCTGTTTACCAGGGTTAGTAGATGTAGCTGAACAACTCGATAAAAGGCCTTGAACATGCAACATATTGCAATGTCTAAGTTACAGGAAGTCAGCACATTTTTTTTTTTTTTTTTTTTTTTTTTGACGTTTTGGCCGGTGTTTTGGACGATGGGAAGTACCATCCTGATAAGAAGAAAGGTAGGTCTTTACACTCTGCTGACCAAGTCCAGTATAGTTGGTTTATACCCCAGGTCAGTTAATACACAGTATGACCCTTCCATCTGGAGACTAGGAATGGTGATAGAACTGAGATAGAGGGTGTAGTTAGTGGACAGTCTATGGTATTTCATCCTTATTTACATTGTGGTAGCGCTTACATGCGCCGATGAGGATCAGAGTCTCATTGTGCTAGGTGTGGTAATAGATCTTTTTAATATTGCTACATCTTGCTACAGCATTCATTTTCACTTGTTTGTGAAGGAAACAAAGTGAAGTCAATCTAAGTCCAGAATAACTAGTCTCAAAGACATAAGCTGGATTCATTTAACTGTTGTTCTTTCATTGTTGTTATTATGTTAAGCAACACAGTGGCCTAGGTATTAATGTTGTGCTCAGGTACCATGATGTGTTCATGCCTGATAGAATTACCTGCACTGTGCACTATAGTCACCTATAACCACACATCTGCAGTGTCTGGTTATAGTCCCCAAATCATCTGTTTTCCACGATGTGGGTGCTACCAGTATGGATGAATCTGTCATTCAGCAGCTGGCAGCCAATCCAGGTGCAAGATTTTCACACTCACTTCCACCCCTTCCTCCTGGCAGGCTGGCAGCCAGCCTTCCCCAGTTCTCTTGCCCCACTGAAAGCAGCTGTAATATAATCTGAGCAGCTAATCTAGTATAGCACCCTGTGCAAAAGGCAGTGGAGAAACTGGAGTGTAAGATGAGACTGATAAGGAGTCACATGTATGTGTGAAGTTGTACTTAAATCACTGTAGTAGAGCCTTGCATCACTAACAGACAACATGAGCGAGTCCTGGTCCTTGAGCTAAGAGATGTTGGTGGAAACAGAGACTAGGATCAAGCACCATGCTAAGGCCTTTCATGGAACGGAGATAGAAAAGCATTATTGCCAACAAGGCTCTTAGAAAGTTGATGGGGAGGTAGTTTCAGATGCTGAAAACTTCTGAAGTGAGACTTTCCAGAAAGAGCATGCGACTCCTTTTTGGATCTCCTGGTCCCAACAGAACTAGCTTGAAGCTAGGAAATGTGCCAAAGGAGAAGTGTATTATGGCCATGGGGAAAGACCATGGCTAGCTCTGGCAAAGAGGCACGTTAGCGTCATCCCAGCAAAGCAAAGGAGAGAGGAACGCAGAGTGTCTGCAGCCTTCATGGCCTCCAAGTCCAGGGGAAGTTTTAGGAATGCAAGGAGGAGAAACCTATGCAGATGAATTTGTTCCTTTATTAGCACTGTGTCCTGTATGGATGCCATGGATTGCAGTACAGGAGGAAGAGCGGCTCTGCTGATAAAAGATGCCACCCTAAGCTTGTCCGCAGGTCACTTCAACCACCTCTCCTTTGTGGCATGATGCCAGAGTAGCCTTTTTAACATGAATCTCAATTACCCACTGAGACATTGAGGAGGAGAATGGCAAGGAACAAACTTGTAGCCCACTGGCGGGAAGGGGAAGACCTTTGGACCACTGATTTCTTTAACTCCGAAAACAGTTACAATTTATGACTCAGCCCCACTCCTTTGCCCCCAACTAATTAGTTTCCTTAATTAGTATTAAGTTATTTGAGGAGTGATTTTTAATGGGATATCAACTAAACTTCTAAAAGTTGCATTTTATAAGATAGCATCTGCCTTCTCGGACGAACCCCAAGCAATGACCTACTGTCAGGATGTGCTCTTGCTCCTGTTGAAGTCAATGTTCCTTAATGTCAGCGGGTGCTGGATGAGGCCTTGCTTCATCAGTTAGGAAGTACTGGTTTCGCCTATGGGTTGGAAAGTGCTCTAAGGAATGATCCAACTCCGAGTGTAGTTAAGGACAAGAGTCCCACAACATTGGGAACTGGCTTGGGGAATTGGCTTTCATGACTAATACTTTGAATATACAGAAAATGGTAGAAAAGATAAAAGCTTTCCCTCGACTTTCAACCACTCACTACTGCTTACTGAGAGTTAAGATGAAGACATCAGGCCGCATGTTTGTGAAGATCCACAATATTAAATATTAAAATAGGGAAATTCAAAGGATGAATACCACCAGCCCAGTCAACAAACTACGCTAAAGACAAACTGCATTGGAGTAATTAATACTATGCTGACCCGCTTCCATAAATTCAAGATTTATTTACAGTGATTTGTTAACTGTAGATTTTGGAGGGAACTTTTCCTCCTAACCCTGTTTCTCCAGGGAAAGCAGTTTTTAAATAGGTTTCAGGCTAAGTAAAGATTCCTTGGCATTATGGAGCTTAGCTGCACATTTTTCTATTGACAATGCAAGTATGCTGTGTGATTCTATATAGCATGTCAGTTGTCATCCCTTTATAGTCAATGCACAAAACTTTGCTTAGCACAGGAATAGGGTATCGAAAGCTCATCTGCCATACAGAAAGGACTACCCACTTAAGGCGGCTCCTCTGATAATATGTATGATGTCTTAAGTCTTCACAACAAAAGCGAAGAGAAAGGACAGGAAGAGTCATCAAATCCCTGGAACTGATCCCACCTTATGGTGAAAGAATGAATAGGTCTGGCAAGCCAGGTTCTGATTCTGAGCTACGGTCTGTAGCGTGGGTCCCGTTGTACCGAAGTGCATCCTGAATAAAGGTCCCTGCTTCACAGTTTGTAGAAGATGCAATAAAATAATAAGGAACATCACAGGTGGGATTCTCTGCTGGAATGGGAGAATTCCCACCGGGATTCCTTCCTGGGCACTGAATCCTGTCACTGCTTTGGCTCCAATTGGAATTGGAGAGTTGACTCATTTTGGTATAAACGCCTGCTAAACACAGCTTGTCAAATCTCTGAGCAGCTGTTACAGGCCCAATTCTGCAAGGTGCTGAACACTCTGAGTTCCCATTGGAGGCAATGGGGCTTTAGGGTACTCAAACCTTTGTAGGACTAGGTTCTGCTGCATGTGCCTATGTCAGTGTGGGGACCTAATTAATCCTTGGAAAAAGGGGGAAGCCACTTAGCTCTTCATACCTCCAGCCAGATCTTCTCCTTTGACTAGAGATTTACGGCCCCAGTGTAGTGTCAGGCTTTGGCTCCAGTGAGCCAGTAGTTATTACACTCATGTGCATCATACACACACACTGCCCTCCCCGCCCGTATTGCACACGTGGCATAACTTCATAGCACCTTAGTTCTCAGAACATAAGAAAATGGAGGCACCATGAAAGAGAAGTGTGAGGCTGATTAATGTGCTGAACTGTTTTAAGTCAGCCTGTCACCAGAGGGATGGAGTAGACTAGAGGGTGGTCAGTTCCCACATGCCCCTTCCCCTGTGTATGCATTTTCAAGCTGCATGTGTTGCAAGCATCTCTCATTATGCAGGTCCTCTTTCGTCGCCCGCCCACAGCCTGGCACCAAAAAGCCTTTATTGGAGTCACCCTGGCATTGTCTCAGAGGAAGCCGGGATTGCTAGACTCGAGTGCAGATACGTGTAAATGAAGCCACAAGCAACTGTAAAGCCTGCCTTTGACTGCACAGCGCTAAATTTATAATCAATTCCACTTATAGCCTAACGCAGTGTTACTGAGCCAGCAGCTGTTTAATTAAATATGAGGGTTACCTTAGTGTGCAGGTCTGCAGTCACACAACAGCATGTTTCGTACTGCTGCTTTCCTGCAAGTGTCACCTCCCCACCACCACCACCGACACTGAGAAAATCACTAAAGTCACAGTAGGATCATGAAGGTGGCTGTGAGCTCGAGGATCCTGGGCCAGGCTGGCAGCCCCTTACCCTGCTGTGCTAGGAGATGGTAGTTAGAAAGCACGACCCCGCTCTTCTCCCCTCTGTGACGGTCTTCACTGCCAAGACAGGTGTGTTTTCAGCCAGGGCAACTCATGCGCATAAAACCCTAGTGGAGACATGGCACCTGTAGCTTTACCGTGAGGTCAACCTCGCCTAGCTGCCGCTCAGTAAACCCTACAGAGCTATGTCTCCGCTAGGATTGTACAGCAGAGTCACTACTGTGTGTTACTTATCCCACTGTTTGTCCGAGTGAAGACAGCCTACATGCTCTGCCAGCCGTAGCACAGCAAGGTAGCTGTGTCCGCAGGTGGGCTGTGCTTTCACATGGACATCCCCGGCCCTAGCTGCTGGTTTGTTGAGAGAAGGCGGAGCGGGTGTGTGGGGGGGTGTCTCCTCCATGCATGCTACACAGGTTCAGCAGATGAGCCATCGCAAGCAGTTGTGGGGGAGGGGAGCTGCTTATGCTGGGGAGCGAGCACCAGGTGTTTTGCCCCCCAGAGCGGCTGTGGGCAGCGCCGAGGTTCCTGGTACCTGCCCTTCCACCAGAGCCAGTGCAGAGGGGCCGCGGTGAGAGCAGAGCGCCCTGCTGCCAGCTCTGCACCCATTGCCCTGGCACGCCAGGGGTTGGTGGTGCAGGGTGAGGACTAAGTACGTGACAGGCTGGCCACTGGGCCTGACCTTGTGCCTGCACAGCTGCTGCCATCTATTCTCAGCCTGGTTTCTCTTCCTCTCTCATTCTTGGTCTCCTCTCCACCTCCCCCTCCCCCCGCCCGCCTGTCCCATTTTGTCTTTCTGTCCCAGTTTCTACTGCCCACATGTCTCGGGGTGGGGGTTAGGCTCCGCGGGGGCAGGCACACAGAAGAGCAAACTGGTCTGGTCCTGGGTCTCTAAGGGCACGTCTACGCTAGAAAATTAAGTCACCCTAACGTACGTTGGCATGCAGCCGCCTCAGTAATTACATCGCTTGTGCGTGTCTACATTTCGCTCTGTGTGTCGGCAGTGCGGGTTCTCACCAGGAGCGCTTGCACCGACGGCACTGTCAGTGTGGGGCGTGTGGGATGGCTTCTGAAAGCCAGCCACAGTCGATGTAACCAAGGCAGTGTCATTGACCTAACGACATAGACACTGACTCTACGCCGCTCGTGGAGGTGAAGTCGGGTCGGTGTAGCGGGCGAGTTACATCCATGGGAGCGAAGTTCTAGTGTAGACACTTACGGAGTTAGGTTGACGTAAGCTGTTTCTAACTCTGTAGTGTAGACCAGGGCATAGTCTGTATTCAAGAGCCCAGGTGGCTGGCCTGCCGCCCTAGGAGCAGGGGAGCTCTAGGGTGCATTTGCAGTAGGGGGTGGGGCGAGTCCACCTTCCTCCCACCCTGGCTGGGGCAGGCTGCAGGGCATGGCGCAGGTTACTGAAAGCAGTGGATTCAGTCAGGTGATGGGGGGGCAGACCTGAGGCCCTTGCATTAGGAACAGCACTGCTGTTGGCTTTGATCCCCAACAGGCACCAATGAATGAGAATCCCATGCTGGCAGCATCAGCCCTAACGCCCCTTGTCTTTCTTCCAGGTGGCAGCGACTACGATGCAGGTAAGTAGCGACGACAGAAGCCCAGCTCCGTTCAGCCCCAGACCGACCCTGCTACCACAGCATCTCCGAGCAACGGACACACGCAAACACCCGGCCCCTGCCCCTGCCCACCACATTTCTCAGACTAGTTTGCTTAAGAGGCTATGGGTGAGAAATCCTGGCCAGCCCTAGTGTCTGCAGAATAGCCCAGGTGACCTGGGGGAAGGGAGAGAACAGCTAGATCCCTGGAATAATCATTTTGGACCCTGATACGTATTTAAGCCCAACATCCGCTCCTCTGCTTTGTAGGCACCACCGCCGAGACTGGGACAATAGCGGGAATAGCCAGTGCTCTTGTCGTGGCATTGGTTGGCGCCGTCTCCAGTTACATTTCCTATCAGCAAAAGAAGTTTTGCTTCAGCATACAACGTAAGTGGTTCAAACGCTCTGAGCAGAGCACAGAGCCTGCTGGGGAAAGAGCAGGAAAGACACCCTCGCCTGTGGGTCCTCATGAGGTGCAGCAACCCTCCCTCTTTCTGTGCAAGAGGAGGGGGCTGCGGCCCCTGGGGAGAGCCCTCCAGGGATTTGCCGGGGGGCAACCCCACCTGGAATCCTCAGAGAAGTTAACACACCCTGAGGCTGCAGTAACCTCGGGGCTGTGGTACCCACCATGCATGGGAGCGCCAGCGGCATCGGTTCATGGGAACGGTGCTGCTTGGCTGTGTTCCTAGCCAGGATGCCCAAATTGTTTATCAGCCCCCTGCTGCTGCTCTCCATGGTAACTAGCTAAAAGACCCAGTTTGTGAAAAGGGGCTCCCCTCATTACACTGGAGATGGGTGGGGGAAAGGCAGGAGAGGGGAGCAGAGGCAACATGAGAAGGTCTAGGCGGGAAGCAAGCCTGTGTGTATAATTGGCAGGATACACCCAAGGCCTCCATCACAATCTCGCTTTGTCATAGCATCAGGAGCCAAGCTGTACCTTGGGACATTCAGGAACAAGAAGAGTGATGAGGGAGACTGGAGTGGTATTTATTATTATTGACTGAAATTATCCCTGTGGAGGGGGAGAAGACACATCCCCACCCCACAAACCTGGCTCACTAGCAGGCCGAGGAACGTTGTAAGGATAAAGCATTCATTTGAAATTGAAACAACATATGTCAGCTCCAGCTCTTGCAAGGGGGCGGCTTTGTTCCACCCCACGCAGGAACTCTGGATCTGAAAGGTTTTTTTCTTATAACATTAACCATTTAATCGACCAAAACTATTCAAACCCACCATTTGATAAGGGTGGCAGCTCCTCCAGCAGCTACACCCCTCGCCAGTGTCAATGTGGGGACTCAGCTGCCCCCTGCCTCTGCACATGGAATTGTTGATTGAACATGCACACACATTAGTCCTGACTCAAATGCAGGATACCAGCTTAAGCCAAACAGCCAGCATGTTCTTCCAGCTTGAAGTGATGGCTTTACAGCATTTCATTACAGTCTAAGACTCCTGGGGTAGGATCTGTCCAGACTGCAGCACCCAACGAATGACGTAGGAACATACCATAGACTGAGGAAATATAACTGGAGTTGAAAACTTACCTGTAGGCAGCAAGAGGAGATACAGCAAGCAGTGGCTGATTCCAAAATGGCCTCTCTAGAGTCTGTCAGATTTAAAGGACTAACCCCAGAAAGGCATGCTGGGAAAAAGAAGTTCCTATAAAAGGAAAAAGCCTGCAGTGGGAGTCATAAAGGAAGTGGCTATAGCAGTATTGTCTCCACATAATTGTATTTAATAGCTCCAGGTTCTTCCCTCCTCCCCAGGCAGCTGTTCGTATAGTTCAGTTGTAAAGATGGCCTTTCAAAATAAATGTTTCCATTCTTTTCCCATTGGGAAAACAATGAATGCAGCAGGCCACGAGCAACCCTACAAAAAGCAAGCAAAGCGGAAGGAGACGGTTTCAGGGAGGAAATGGATTACACTTCAACATCTGTTTCTGTAAAGCATCTTTGATTGTGAACACTTCACAGCATTAGGCCCTGATCCTGTAAGTTCCTTCCCCTGGACAGACTTTTCAGGATCTGCCCCATAGCTAACCCAGTTGTAGAGTTAAGTAATAACAGCAGAGAGGGACACGCCGAGATGCAGCTACTGGGGTGGGGGGGGCTATAGTTAATTTTGAGATGAGGTTTGGAAAGAAGCTATTCAATCCAGATGGCAGGTGCACCAAGCACAGCTAGGTTGTGGGAAGGGGCTCACACTACACAGGTGGAGGGAGGAGAGGAGACAAGGCCCTTGAGAGAAGGGGAAGGACATTGAAACACATGGGGGATTCTGAAAGGGCTGCGGCTGTCTCTGAGGCTGGGCAGGCGAGTTCCTTTGTGTGTGAGAGAGAGGGTGAGCAGCAGCATTCTGCAGCTGCTGGAGACCTAGGAATGGGAGATGGTAAAGGAGGGAATTGCAGAATCCAAGGCAAGCGGTGGCAAGAGCCTGGCCTAGGCAACCGTTCTCAAACCCTTCCATAGTATGAGTCACAAGAGTGGGTGTTTGTGGACACCTCTTCGGCCCCTGACCCACCTCCCTCTCCCACTCCGTCATGTAACATCCACAGCAGTTGTATGCATAGAGAAGAGCATTGGGGAAAGTGCTTGGTGTAGTTTAAGTAGCTGTCTTTAATGTGATGTAGCAACTGGACTGAGCCTAGCCACCTCTGGGCTCACCTCTGAACACTGGTGGTCTGGAGCTCACAGGGTGGGACCCACTGCCCCGGGGCTTCCAAGGAGTTATGATAAACAGCCAGAAAAGCGAATTTAAAATTAATCAACTAAAATCCCTTGAGTGTCTCCTTCACTATCGGGGCAGAAACTTACCCTGAAACACTGCTATTTTCCTGGCTGGGGCTGCGACAAACAGGTGAGAGTTTTGGAAAATTAGATCAGCAGGAAAAGTCGAATGAATGTGAGAGAATAAAATGCCCTTGTTTGTTCCCCCCCATTTAAATGATATTTTGGAAAGAATAAATAATAAAAAATAAAGGCTTTGATAAAAGGGAAGCCGAAAGAAGCAAAGCCCAGAAAGGCAGCAGGAAATTAAAGTTAATTATAAAGGAGGATTAATTTAAGCCATCAGACATGGCATGCTGGGATAATGTCAGGCCTTAGATGCATTGCAATGCATGACAGAAATCTGAGAGCAGTCAGCAGTGGCAGAACTGGCTTTTTATTGAAAAACATAAATTGTGTTTGGTGTTATCCCAGCAAAACACATGTCTTGGGGGAGGCTGCTGTGTTATGGAATGACCGCGCACTGGGAGCACAAAGGAACACTAGGTTGTTTGTGTGTGTGTGTCTCTGTCCGTCCAGTGGTGAGGGTGTGGGCTCAGTTTGCATTTTTGATCTCATTTGGACTGGAACATTCATGCACTCTTCATGTTTTTATCAATGACTGATGCAAAGTTTTCCCCATATCCTTTACCCCTCTCTGTACTTTAACCCCCATCACCTTGGTACCTAGGAGCATCAAGATGATTTAGGGGAGTTCTGACAGGCCATAGTCAAACAGAGCAATGTTGGTATTTCTAGGCTACTGAGCAGTTACATGGGAAAATTCCACACCTACTGGTCACACTTATCGAGAGGAGACTTGGCGTAAGGCTGGGAGTTTCAAAGAAGCCTAAGGGAATTATGTGCCATGCAGCCAATGGGAGATGGGCACCTGGCTCCATTAAAAAGCATCATCTGCATTATTCACACCCCTCTCTTTCACCAGTTGGAGCAAGGCCTTTCTTTCGCCAGCGCGCTGCACTTCTACAGCTCCCTTGTCGCACTGGGCCTGACACGGTGAGAGCCTGCAATTCCCGCAAAAGCAAATAGGAGAGTGCTCTGCACTGAGAGGCTCAGACTCTGTTTCCCTATCTCCCTTCCCAGCCCCCTTGGTCATTGGTTTTCTAGTGATTCACACTAATAGCAGGAATAACATTACTGTGGGAGGGGCTCAAAACATGTCACATGCTTTGAGCCTCCCAAGCCACCCTATCAGCCAGTGACTGTTACCTGCCGTGTACACGTGGCATACGAAGGTTAATTGATTGGCTTAAGATCACACTGCAAGGCTAGGGTAGAGCAAGGAACAGAAGGACCCAAGGCCTTGTTTCCCAGGCCTCTGTGCTGACCAGCGAACGAATGCCCACCGCTCACCTGAGGGAGCTTTTATGTAGCTGCTTGGGCTAGTACTGGCTTTAGCTGTTGCTCACCGCCCATTAAACACGTTGCTGTGTTATGCTGTAGCCCTCCTGCAGCAGCAGAGAAGAAAATGTTCGCTTTGTTGGCAACGCTTGTGCCCCTTTCCTACAGCTTGTGACCTGCTTTTCCCCAAACAGCATTAAAAGACACCCCCCCCCCCCGATGAATTAACTGCTCCCACAGAAACCAGAAACAAACCCACCCATCATGGTAAGAGTGCCTTAGTCGTTTGCCACTGAGTGATAGGGAACTCACATAAGTGACTAGCCATTTGGTTTGGCAACTACTTCTGTCTTCCTTAGTACCAGCTCAGGTGTAAGGGTCCCATCCTATCTGCCAAGCGAGTGCATTTTGGCTTCCCCATGCCTGCAGTGTACATGCCTTCACCTTTTTAGCCATATTTCTTTTCACATCCATGTAATAGGCTATAGTTTCTTTAGTGCCGGGTATAATACTAGACCTCATGGCATATTTGTCCTTGCTACTCGCTCTGTGAGCTAGAGCAGTAATATCCCCATTTTATAAATGGAGAATTGAGGCAGAGAGAGATTTGGGCACGAGTTCAATGAGCGTTAGGTGCCTAAATGCCTTAGAAGTTCTGGGCCTAAGTGTCTTGCCCTCCCCACCCCAAATAGGGAGTCTGTGGAAAAGCTCAGCCTCAAATCCAGATCTACATGGCCCAGGCCTATGCCTTAACCATAAAACCATCCAGCCCTCAGCTGTAACTAAAGACTTTATCTCAGAGGCATTGGCCAGGCAGCCGCTGCATGTCTGACCTGGCACTGGGGCAGAACAGAGCTATGTGGTTGTTAAACGTTAGCCCTGCTCTGCCCTTGCGGCCATCACCGCGCACTGGTAGCACAAAGCTCCCCTAAATCATCTTGATGCTCCTAGGTACCAAGGTGATGGGAGTTAAAGTACAGAGAGGGGTAAAGGATATGGGGAAAACTTTGCATCAGTCATTGATAAAAACATGAAGAGTGCATGAATGTTCCAGTCCAAATGAGATCAAAAATGCAAACTGAGCCCACACCCTCACCACTGGATGGACAGAGAGAGAGACACACAGACAAACAACCTAGTGTTCCTTTGTGCTACCAGCGCGCGGTCATGTTGCTCCCCAACAGCAGACACTGAAATGTTTTTGTGTGTCCTGTTCCCTGCAGCCATCACTTTCTGCCAGTTGCAGTAATAGGCTAATTCCCATTCTCCTGACCCCCACAAGTAGTCTCGTTGATTTTATTGTGAGGCAAGGGAATAGAACTAGGCCAATAAAGCAACTAGTTCCTCGCACAGTGTCCGACCAGCCCCCAGAATTTACTTTGCCCAAAACTCTGAAGCCTCTGGGGTCTGCTGTCCTGGTTGTCAGGGTGGCTAACCCTGATGTGGATTCAAACCATTGTTAAACAGTAGCCCGGGCATGCCTTTCACTTTCAACAGCGCGACTCCTGCGCTGTGACCTCACTGTTGTTTTGAAATGACTCAGCCACGCCTAGCAGGCCCCGTTGAATTATTTTCCTACTCTGAATCCCAGCTGCGCTCGTCATGCTGTTAGTTGCTGTACGTGACACCTCGTCTATACTAAGTACACACAGTGTGACAGGCGTAGATCCAGTTACAATGAACAGGATGGAGTTGCAGCCACACAGAAGCTTTTTTTCATAACACAACCGTGTCTCCAGCCGTGACTGGTTCCACCCCACCACTGCATTCCAGGACCAGATGGCTAGCTGGCCCGTGTTGCCTAGCGGACGTGCAGAAGAAGCAATGCTCTGGGCTGTCCTGCCATAGAGCGCTGGGAGGAAGGAAGGCTGGCCAAGCTGGTAACATAAGTATGGTTAGAGGGGTCTTCCTACTGTTAAAATCAGTATTACAGCCGGATCCCAGCCTACATCATGTAATGACCATGTTGTGCGTGAACACAGACGACAGCAGCGCCTGGTTACAAACTGGGTGAACGTTTATAATGCAGCCAGGGCCGTAGGGTGTAGCTTTGCTTGTTGTGTGAGTTCTGTTCCAGAGGCCGTGTGCCGTGCTAAGACTTGTATGTTATCGTTCAACGCTGCAGAGGGGCAAGGTAAAGCTGCCTTGCATCTCCACCCACTTTGCTCTCCTGCTTAAGCCTTGAAATCCTCATTTTACCCCGTTTCCTCCCCCTCCCCCCCAATTGAGCATGTTTGGCACAGTTTCCTCCCTTGCAACTCTGTTCCCAGTGCAAGCTGCTCAGTTTGCCCGTCACTGTTCAGCTGCAGGGGGGTTGTTGCAGCGCTCTTGTGAAATACGCCTTAACTGAGCTTGTGTATAGCAGAAAAGCAAATCAACTGTCTGAATGTGAAGTGTGTGTGGGGGTATGAAATAGTAAGAGTGTCCTCGTTAGACCAGAGATGAGCAGAACTAGGTGGGTAGCTGCGATCTCATAGCAGGTCTCACTTCCCAGCAAAAGCCTGTAAGGTGCGTGTACAACGTGTGTATACACACAAACACACACATGCATGTTGCACACACACAGCTGTAGAGCTGAATGACTATGCCTAAAGAAAACATGCCGGTAAGTAACCCCTTCACTGCTGGACTTCCTGGGGTATTTCTGTCCTGGTATTTGAAGGGGATGCTCCATTGAAATCAACGGAGCCCTAAGATGTTGCAGGTAGGTGCTGCAGCACTGTCATACCTCTGACCTATTCCCACATGCACTGTGAATAAAAGGGCAGAAAGGCAAGGGTGGTGAAGTGCCAGGCGGGGGTGGCTGGCTCCTCTCTGCCCTACCCTGTACCTCTAGCCTGTTGAAAAGTAGGAGATCCTGGGCCAGATTGGTGGAAGTGAGCCCAGCGCCACTGAAGTCAAGGCCGTTTCAATGGCTTATTGCCAATGATGAGTTTGGCTCCCTCAGTTTATTCACAACGGTGCTTGGCTTCCCCACCCTACCTCAGCTCCCAGCCTAGCATGACGTGCTACTGAAACGAAGAGCCTTACTAATTGCTTCAAACGTTGAAAACTTTTTTGCATTTAAAGCCCGACCTCCCACAAGTTTGGGAACCTCAGTGCGATTTTGCTTCATAAACAACACAGGCTTGCTCTAAACCGCTTCTTTTACCCACGCGTTGGTAAGATTCCTCTGCATAATTTAGCATTTGGTGAGAACTATACCTTACTGTCTCCTTCCCCATCTGACTCTCTTTATCATCACTTCACAGAGGGTCTTAACGCAGAGTACGTGAAAGGAGAAAACACAGAAGCTGTTGTAACTGAAGAACCTCAAGGTGAGAGCTTTTTTTGGCACCGCTCTTAATCTTTCTGAACGGTGGCTTTCGCAACTCCTGCTAAACATCAGTACATGTTCCCATTGTAAGTGTCTCACACGTCAGCCAGGCCTTCCTCTCTCTGTTAAGCAAGTCATAGCAAATATAACGGATGACACTGCCACTTGCCATAAAACATCCACAGCAGCGCTTGCTCCCTTACTGCATGCACGGAAGAGATTTATAAATCCAGGGGCCTCAGAGCCTGATCCTGCAAACAATGGGCCTTAATACTTTGCCACAGTGCTTGTCATCTATGGCTCTTTAAGTACTTTACAAAAGGAAGGCATCATCCCTGTTTTAAAGATGGGAAAACATAGGCACAAAGATGAAAGGATTTTCCCCAAGGCCACAGAGCATCTCCCACCATTGACTCCTTGTATTTTAATACTTTAATGTGTTGTTGTATTCATGGTGATTCTTTTTTCCCCCTCCAGTTAAATATTCAGTCCTAGAAACACAGTCAGCAGAGGCGCCACCACCACAAGACAATGCGAAGGTCTAAAGCATGGCCTTGGGCTGGAAGAGAATCAGTCAGCGGCAAACACACACACACAAAACCATCTCACATGCTTGTAATTCAGCTTTTTATTTAATTTGGATCCAAGCTATTTAATGTGTATTTAGACTAGAAGTGGCTTCTTGTTGATATAGGCGGTAGGGCTAGAATGTCAGTGTCTTTTTATTTTTTTGTAAAGAGTTGTATGTTTACATGGAATTTAATAATGTAGGATGGATTACACTTTGTGTACAAAACAACAAAAGGTGCTTCAATAGCCTTTCAAGCAATGTTTAGGATTTTCACGTTCGGGACAAGCAGCTGGGATAATGTCTTTTTCAAAGAGTGCCAGAGCGTACAGGTGTGAGGACGATAAAGTGCCTGTAAAATAACGATCCAAAGCAAACCATGCAAGAACCTTTGTAAATCACTTCCAGTCAATTTCTGCCATCAGCTATGCGCATGCAGTGTCCAGTGTCAGCAGTGAAAATTGTGTGTGTAGCTGAGGGTAGATTTTGCTCCTTAGAGTAGCTACACTTAAAAATAAAGTGCCTATGGGTAGATCCTCATTTAGGGGCCCAGCCTGGGGGGTAACAAAGATCTCTACTCATTGGAGTCACAGAGTTGAGGGTGCACATCTCACGCTACTAGGCTTCTACCCACCTTTAAGGACCTGATTTTGATACCAGATAACTATTCCTTGACTTTAGCAAAGCTTTTCATACGGTCTCCCACAGTATTCTTGCCGCCAAGTTAAAGAAGTATGGGCTGGATGAATGGACTGTAAGGTGGATAGAAAGCTGGCTAGATCGTCGGGCTCAACGGGTAGTGATCAATGGCTCCATGTCTTGTTGGCAGCCGGTTTCAAGCGGAGTGCCCCAAGGGTCGGTCCTGGGGCCGGTTTTGTTTAATATCTTTATTAATGATCTGGAGGATGGTGTGGACTGCACTCTCAGCAAGTTTGCAGATGACACTAAACTGGGAGGCGTGGTAGATACGCTGGAGGGTAGGGATCGGATACAGAGGGACCTAGACAAATTAGAGGATTGGGCCAAAAAAAACCTGATGAGGTTCAACAAGGACAAGTGCAGAGTCCTGCACTTAGGACGGAAGAATCCTATGCACTGCTACAGACTAGGGACCGAATGGCTAGGTAGTTCTGCAGAAAAGGACCTAGGGGTCACAGTGGACGAGAAGCTGGATATGAGTCAACAGTGTGCTCTTGTTGCCAAGAAGGCTAATGGCATTTTGGGCTGTATAAGTAGGGGCATTGCCAGCAGATCGAGGAACGTGATCATTCCCCTTTATTCGACATTGGTGAGGCCTCATCTGGAGTACTGTGTCCAGTTTTGGGGCCCACACTACAAGAAGGATGTGGAAAAATTGGAAAGAGTCCAGCGGAGGGCAACAAAAATGATTAGGGGTCTGGAGCACATGACTTATGAGGAGAGGCTGAGGGAACTGGGATTGTTTAGTCTCCAGAAGAGAAGAATGAGGCGGGATTTGATAGCTGCTTTCAACTACCTGAAGGGGGGTTCCAAAGAGGATGGAGCTCAGCTGTTCTCAGTGGTGGCAGATGACAGAACAAGGAGCAATGGTCTCAAGTTGCAGTGGGGGAGGTCTAGGTTGGATATTAGGAAACACTATTCCACTAGGAGGGTGGTGAAGCACTGGAATGCTTTACCTAGAGAGGTGGTGGAATCTCCTTCCTTGGAGGTTTTTAAGGCCCGGCTTGACAAAGCCCTGGCTGGGATGATTTAGTTGGGAATTGGTCCTGCTTTGAGCAGGGGGTTGGACTAGATGACCTCCTGAGGTCCCTTCCAATCCTGATATTCTATGATTCTATGATAACGATACAGATCATTGCGGTATGGGATTTTGGCAGGTAACACTGCCATACATGGTTGTGTCTGAGATGGGCATTGAGCCTCGAGTGCCAGGGTTTGGCTATGACAACACTGAAATTTCTGCATTGTCGCTGAGATTAACTGAAAACTGTGCACACTTGTATGGATTTAGGGACAGGTTCAGATCTCATTTACACCAGAGTCACTCGAATTCAGAGAGAGCTGAGTTAAAACTAATTGAGTGTTTTTAAAAAGATCATGTAATTAACCTGTGAAACTCACTGCCACAAGATAGACATTAAGAGCTTAGCAAAATTAAAAACCCCAACTATGTAATATGGCTGATTAGCACATGCATAGTTATTTTAGCTGGGGGGAAAGGGGGATATAAAGCCTCATGCTTCAGGGCATAAGCTAACCTCTGAGAATGGTTAGGAAGAAACTGCCACTGACGGTAGCATTATCCTCTATGGGGTTTCTTACACCTTCCTCTGAAGCATTTGATGCTGGCCACTGACAGGATACTGTACTCAAGCTGAAGCAGCGCTCTGATCTGTGTTCCTGTTTAACTGAGATTGATTCTGGCCTCTGGTAGCTTGACTATCACTTGTTACAACTTTTTTTTTTTCTTTATGCCCCTTTCATTGCTGCTAAAATGTGGACACTGCCACGTGCCAATACATTTTTCAAAATTAGCCGAATTGGGAAAAGGAGGCTTTGAAACAAAGGAAAAGTCTTCACTTTCTCAAGTGGAAAAGGTACGAAGTGTTTCTAGAATCAGGACGTGTGTACGTTTTGTAATGTTTTGCAAAAATCCCCATTATGTGAAAGGGAAGCAGCAGCTGAGTAAGAGTGTCTAGTTTTCAGTTTGATGTACACGCTCGGTTTTCATGAAGGGACTTACATGGGGCCTTGCCTGTAGGTATTTGTATAAGCCTAGGGACAGTTCTGTGTAACAATCTAATTTAAAGGAAAGTACCTAGTAGCATTGTAAATGTTTTGCAGCAGCTGTACAATTCCTTATGCTCTGTTTTTTGACACATGCATTTCAAAAGCCTTATAATAGCTTTACAGGCAGAAATACATTGTTTTATGAATGCGTTTGTATTACAAAACAAAATGTAATAAGCTGTTTCCAAAGTTCTCGTTTAACTATTGGCGTCTATGGAACTGGAGCAGGAAAAATAGACAAGGAATACAGCATTCATGCTTGCTTAGATACTCTAGAGTAGATTTATCAAGGAGGAAATGTGGTTTGTAGAATTGTGAAGAGCACATAAAGAAACCCAGATGCTAACGAAGCCACAAAGCTGAATTCATATGACTGTATATTTCCAAATAGTGTAGTTTGTTTCTTTCCTAGCCAAACATGTTTGAAAGCTGTAGTATAAAAGCATTTTTAGATAAATATTGGAGATAAAGGTTAGTATATGGCATTGGTACAACACCAGGAACCATTTTCTCGGGTAGATCAAGTGACCATAATTCCATATTTCATTTTTGCTGATGAAAGAAAGTGTTTTGATGAGTATAGATTGTCAAATTTTGTTGCATTTCTATTACTGCTCTGTACAATCACTGTGTGTGTCTACTGTACAGTGGATTGGCGTGTTGCTTACTTTAGGAGAGAGCACTTAACCCTTGCAGGGAAAGTGTTAAAAAACTAGAACATTTGAGACCTGTTAATAATTCACAAATATTGCCATTTTCTATTTTAAAGTAGTTTCTCTGAGAATAATACCAGGTTGTAGAACTCAGAAGTAGATTGCACAGAAGCTGCTTTTCCCCCCACAGCCTTTTCTAGGATTCTGGTAAGCAGTTATGCCTTAAAGTAATGTATAATTACAGTATCAGAAAAAGTACGTAGATGCACAGCAGAACTCCTGGTCCAAGTTTACAATAGCATAATTTGGCATCTAGGAGAAGGAGGGCTTTAAAGAGGAGACTACTGACTGATGTTATATTACAAAAAGTAAGACTTAGCCAGAGGCCTATCTTCAACAAGGTTAGCAACTTGGCCAAAAAATCCAAATCAATCTAGGACTATCGTGATGTACTAAATATCAAACTAAAGAACAATTGCTCTGTTTTTTGTTGCATTCTTTCTCCCCATCCTTCATCTCTGGATTGTCTGTTCAGTCTCTGGAGGGGCAGCCAGCATCTGTACAGCACCTCGACTCATTCTTATTTGTAACTTCTCAGTAGCGGTGCAAGTTATGTTTTACTTTATGCTCCAGGGGAATTTGATAGGGCTGTTACTTCCCTAGTAAAGACCTTCATATTTAGAAACAGGTGACAACTTAAAAAAAAAAAAAAAAAAGCCCTGCACTGAAACGCTGTATACATGATCTGAGCCACATTCCCCTTTAAAGTATCCAGAGAAAAATATTTGCAAGTCGAAAGTGGTAGGATACAGGAAAAATGTGACATGGCCCAACGCTAAGTGAAATGATTTAATTTTCTGTTAGTCCAAAATATAGCCGAGGACCTGCTGGAAGGTTATATACTGCCTGTGCTGTAGCCACGCACCGACCACGCCCTGCTTTTTGGAGGCTGAGACCACTTCTAATTAAAGTCCATTAGTTTTCTGTACATACATGAAACGGATCCTTGACAAGAAACCCTCTCTAGTCACATAAAGCTTTCGTTTGTTACTATATTAGTGACGTGCATTTTCCTTTGGTAAAGTTGTAATTGTCCTTTCAAGCCAGAGTATTGTGACATTCAGTTTTGACTTGACACTTTTTACTACACCTTCGGAACCTCTTATTAAAATCCCCCGTTTTCATGTAACCCAATAGTACATATTCTTAATGACTTATTTTGTTGTAGTAAAAGTGGAATTAGTCCATGAGAACCATTTAAAATTAAGAAAACATTAAGATTTAAAGTGGAAAGACAGTCTTGGCTGTTAAACATTGCTTGTGTGACAAGTGACGTTCGGAAACCATATGGATGAAATTAGATAAAGAGTAAATTAAATTATTTCTTTGAATAAAAGCAAGGCATACAGTTTACTAAGGCAGAATTGATCTGTACCAAATGAAATTTGTGTATTATGCTGTGAAAAGGCAGACTCATTTTGCTAAAGTGCATATAAGGCTTATAGGGAAAATCAGAATTTGATTGCTGAACTACCATTGGAAAACTATGAATAAAACAGACTGACTCATACAGTGACATTTTGGTACTGTGTGTTTTCTTTGTGTTTGACAAAAATAGGAAAAAGGTGGAAGAGTATTTTTATATATATATATTCATTCCTGCATAAAAGCCCTACTAAAGCTACTTCAACTATTTTTTTCACACTAAGAGAACAGTGTTGGTTTTCTGAGAAAATAAACATTAGCTTGAAAATTTGCAATTAAGGATAAAATTGACGAGTATGGAAAAGCACTGGTAAAGTCACCCTAACAACCTTAATTCTGCCCCACCACTAGTCAACTCAGTGTAGCCAGTCTGGAATCCAGAGTTTTCCTGTAGAACCAAAGACTTCTGGCATACATGACTTTGGCTTTGTACCTCCATGTCTAATATGTGAAATTCCCCTGTAGTGGTGATTTCTAAACTTAAATATTTTGGCCCCAGATATGGTGACTCAGCATGTCACCGTTTTTACATTTGATACTACTTGCTGCTGAGTAATTTTTGATGTAGAACAGTAGAAGCCCATTCTCTCTAACAAATGCAGGTGATTAGATGGGCAGGAGAATTCTGGTGCAGTGATCATATTAATTTGGCTTAAAGGTGACACGTACAAAAATGGGGGTGCACCCTTTTCTCCTTTTTAGAATTCGTATATAAAAGTTTGTGCGCACAAATATCGTGAATTTCACATCTTGCCTTATTGGTTCTGCTGGATGTCTCCCTTAAAGGACTCGGCTGTGGACTGGGAAAGCTCTTAGCCCTTATTTTCACCTGGTAGTGCCAGTCACTGTGGTTTTATTAAATCCATGCGAAAGACTGAATAGCTTTTTTTATAATAAATAAATAAATAGATAGATAGAAAGAAAGGAAGCAAATATAAACTATGGTATAACTACGGGGCAGGAGGGCTATGGAAACAGTTGGCTAAGACTATATTTACCAGTTTAGTAAAAATGAAAGGGTGTTTTGTTTTGTTTTTTAAAAGAATTAAACTTAACCAATGAGGGGGGAAAAGGGTTTCACAAAGTGTCGTTCAGCTCTGAAATGTGACTTCTGTATTGCTCCGACACCTTAAAAAATTTGGAGAGTTTAGGTTTAACTACCTACCCGTACTTCAGACCCATTCTGAGGTTCCTGAGACATGGTTCCCCACTCGTACGTCATCACTTGCAATAAAAGATTCTGCTGGTAAAATTTGCCTGCCTATGTCTGTACACACTTCCTTTGTCTTCAGTAGATTTCTCCTGGTGTAGCAGAGGCCAGATTTTGATCCAGCTACTGGAACACAGTTAACAATTCCATTGAAGATGCACCAGTCAGACCTGAACCTTGCTCCCTCTTACAGAATGCGTTGGCTCTGCTGTGTTAACAGGAGTAAAAAGTAATAATTAATTTTGTCATTTAGTGGGATAAGATGCTGAATGCTCACACAGGAAGCAGAGCTGAGAGATCATTTCACTTTGTCACTTTCCAGAGTAAAACCACACTTTGACCAACAGAAATACAAAAAAGCATCAGTTTGAAAACGAGCGACGGGATGGATCACTTGATGATTACCTGTTCTGTTCATTCCCTCTGGGGCACCTGGCATTGGCCACTGTTGGAAGACAGGATACTGGGCTAGATGGACCTTTGGTCTGACCCAGTAGGGCTATTATGTTCTTATATACTGAGTTAAGTGTCTATATTAAAGTCAATTTTGCTTATTACTCCCATTATTTCAGGAGGATCCCTCATGTTATCCTTGCGATGACAGGGTCACTTGGGTATGTGGCACATGTAGACTATTTGTAGGAATGAGTGACACTTTTCTGTATAAAAATGAATCCATACATTGTAGCTGTGAGCATATAACGTTTAATATCTGAAAGTGCTACAGTTATTCCAACTACCCCTTTTACAATTATGGAGCACAATCTTTCATGATCACTAGCTCCAATAAAGAGAAAATTTCAAATTACTTTCTTTAGGTTTCATTTTAGAAACAGCCTGCTCTATTTCAGTAGACAGTTAAAATGCCTTGCTAAATTTGAAGTACTAAGAAGTTTAATTCACAACTCAACATATTTTGCCAGTATAAAATTCACTGATGGTATATTGTTTTATAGTATTGTTTTTATATAAAAACCATCTTCCATCTTAATTATCTCTTATGAAAGGCCTGATTTAGATTAACAGATGTGGCATCTTGGTCCTTCTTAAACTATCCTGCTTCAGGTGTATAAACTATTATAAAAATACATTTTACCATCACAAATAAACAGGACACATTGCAATATCATGCACGGTGCATAATAAACTTAGAAGACTGGACACAGAACTATCCACACAATTCACACTTGCAAAAGAAGTACTCACCAGTTTGTGTTATACACAACAGCTTTATGTACATAAGTGCACAGTACTGGGGGAAAAGGAGTGTGGCACAATGGCATATTTAGTACAATGACCTCACTGCACAGCCAACCTAATTGCTGGGGCCTCCTTGTGGCGGATGGTCAGTGCAGATACTCCGTAGGGAAGGGATACCACCATCAGATAAAATGGACTGGTAAAGGATTTAGAGTGGAAACAGTGAGGGTAGGGAAGTTAGGGCTCCGATTATTAGAATAGCAGAGAGTTAACCCCCTGCTTCTTTATAGCCCCACCCCAAAAACCTAACCCTATACCCTGCGGTGCTGATGTCCCAGGCTATAGGTGGGGTGCCTTAAATTGAGCAGATAGCAGGTTGGCTAGGGACCTGGATGGATAATGCGAGAGCCCTCCCCCCACCTCCCGGCTGTATGTAAACAAGTACGGCATTATCAGCTGGGTACTCCCGGACATTTAGGAATAAAGTTGCAGCCTAAGCCACATCCAGGGTCTCGTGTCCTCCTTCCAGCATAGCTGGACAATGGTTATCCATGTACAGTAAGAACTACAATTAGTGCATAGAACCAATTGATTCTCAAGAAGCAGGGTTAATTCCTCCTGGCAGCATTTGAATCATACAACTCAAGGCCAGCAAGTGGAGTTACATTATCTTGAATACCCAAAGGAGGAGCTTAGGATTCTTGTGAAATGTTGGTCAAGTAGGAAGGAAAAAAGAAAGGGAAATTTCAAGCACGTTTTACTTCCACGCCTGCTGAGAAAGCAGCTGCAGAATTATTTTTTAAAAGGCTGCATGTCACTAACGGCATTGATCAAACAGTTCTGAAATAAAAATGGTTTGGGAGGGAATTGGAATAAAATGAGAAATAAAGATTTTATATAAAAATATGGATAAATGATTGAAAACAGAGAGAAAACATTGGCAGCATTAAAAAAAAAAAAACCCCAACAGTCTTTATTATTTCAAGGAAACCAATTAAGCGCCTATTATTTAAAAACATCAAAGTTGTAACAGTTTATATCTTCCAAAACATTTGGAGAGGCAGGATCAATTTTCTGAACCCATAACATGCAAATGAAGTGTGTGTATGTTTAACATCACATATGCATGTACATAAATGTGTGTATATGTTTAACAGGACACACTTAAAATACGTGGAACTATACAGACTATACAATTTACACAGTTCAATGTTCTTCTAATCCAAATTGCTAGAAAACAAGTTACTGAGTACAAGACAGACCTGATTAAGCTTACCCCTTATTCGTGAGGGTAAAATGGGACAATAAACGGTCAAAGATTTATTTAAACTTGTAAAAAAAGGCATTAAAAAAATTAAAATCCATGCTTCACCAAATATATTACATCATACAAGTACCAGTAGGTGTGTATTAATTGGCAAATCCTGTTTACCTTCATTACCATCCATTCTTAATGGCATATTTACTCAAAATGTAAAATTGGCTGCACTGGAAAATACTTAATTTAAAATCTGTTTCAAAGTGCATTACTTAAATATGTCCCCAAGAATAATAGTAGTTGCTCTAGATAAAAATAATGTACTGCATTAAATAAAGAGCTCCCATTCAGAAAATTTCTCTCAATGTTCTGATTAAGCACAAACATTACATGGCATTTCATTTGGGTTTCTCAACCAGCCTCTGTACCCAAGGCAGCAAAAAGCCTCTCACATTATCTGTCTGACAGATGGATTCCTTTTTAAGATGGTTAAATTGTTGGTTGCTCAAAATAAAGTTAATTTTACAATTGATGATTTAGCGAGAGATGTCAAAACACATACAGGAACTGCCAACTTCAGAAAATACCATCACAACTATTGAAGCTCTTTTTGGCCTCATCATAACAGGAACAGACACAAAGAATAAGGCATGTAGATTGATAGCAATTAGAAGTCACTCACAATCCTTGGGAGACAGGGAAAATATTCCACCCGCCTCTAAGCATATAGATGCAGATCACCTGACATGAATGGTTTTACATGGCTTTTGTTGCACATCAGACAGAAGTGCGCACTGGGGTGGCTGAGTGAGAAGGAGATGACCCTCTATCTGATGATGAAGAAATGGATCGTGTAGCAGCTTCTCGCTGCAAGTCTTCCACCTTCTTCTGAAGCTCAGCTCTGATGGCAAGTAACTCCTTAAGATTCTGATGAATTGGCATCTGGGGGTTTAACAGAAGAGAGCTATTTTTATTATAATAATTAGTTAACTTCTCAGTTATTAATACATCTGCTATTTTCTTCTGTTGTGACATGAGAAACCCCAAGCTTCTTGTGAATTTCATTACATCTCAATATTTGGAGTGACTATTTCTTTATTTAACATCTGAAATGATAAATATTCTAGTCAACTTCCCCTCTCTCCCCAGTCGATCATGACTCAGTTGGTAAGGCCCCTATTCAGAAGGCGGTACACATTGATTGAAGGGATACCCAAAGACAAGGCAGGGGGGAAGTAAAGGATGACTAAGAAAAAGCAAGTTACTTTAATAATGTACTTTTAATCAATTTTACCAATATTACTGTCAGTGAATGTATGAAACGCCTTCACCAGGAGTCTCTTGTCTCCCGTGAGATGAATTTGTTAAAAAATAAATAAAAAGTAAATTAATAATAAATGAAAAGCATTTTGCACCAGAATACAAACACTGGTCCACAATTCAATACCAAAGATGGAATTTAGAAAAAGAGAGGCCATATCCCTCAAAGTTGCCCCATAGTGCTTTGCACAGAAGAGTGACTGGATGCAGTTTAGTCCAACTGGCTGTAGTCTGAGAAGGTCCTGTCCTTCTCAGGACCTCCAGATTTCAGGGAAGTTGATCACACAAGGCCTTTTCTTAATCTGTTGCTCCAGAGAACAGCCAACTTACTGTGTTCCTTGGCTCCATTCAAAGAAATGGGATCATTTGCCAATGGAACATATTTCCATGGTTTTGTACAGGGCAGCTTTACAAGCATTCGACCCCTCTCAGCCTGGGATTTAGCATCAGTCATCGTCACAGAGGTAGAGAAATGGCTTTTGCCTGTACAGGCCTCCCAGATTCATGCACTGATAAGCCTTTCGCAGAAGCAGGTTCAGGAGGAGTGGTGTCTTTTGCCCTTTCTGTGGCCTCTGAAGGGAGCCTTGTCTTTGGCTGAGTGCCTTTCCTAGAGTTATAAAAGGCATTGTTTCATGTCTATGTGAAGCAGTGGAACACAGCTGGGCAAGAGGAACACTCCTTTAACCCCATTTTTCTCACTAGATCTGCTGCCCTGGACAAAGCCCAGGGTGATCCTCCAAAGTGCAACAACAATAATGAAACAGCCAGAAAACTGCCAAACTTCAGACTGAGTCTACACTGTACTTTACCAAACTATTTACAACTATCTAGAGTAAGGAAGACATATTCTGCAAGTGCTGTCAGAAGAATAGAGAGGAACTCTAGGGCTGTTAGCCTAGAACTATGGAACGTTTGGCTCGAGAGAACTGCATTCATTCCTGACTGCTAGTTACTGCTCAGAAAGGATTCCAGGGCTACAGGGTTAAGCATGAAACTCCTAGAGCTGAGCTGTGTCAAGGAAAGAGGAAGTTTGCTTATGCCACTTCTGATACCCTGGAAGTCACTGGGTCAGCATCCTCCACTCACATGTGGTGATATCAACTGCAACATAAAGAGGGCGTCTTTACAAACCTTCAGCAAGGCAGACAGTCACTGCACACACTACCAGGTTCTTGACAGGGCATATTAGAAATACATTTATAACAATTACCTTCCACAGGCAAGTAACAGTGAGATGCTGTACCACAGCATGTATATGGGAATTCAATTTAATGGACAGCAAGAATTTTCTTGTAGTGGCCACTAAGTTTTTCAATAAGAAAAAACCTGCTGTTCTACTAGAGTTCATCCTTGTGAATATTCTTCCTACGCTAGTGCTCAGGTCCATAAGAGAATGATTTAGCTGTTGTGTTGCTCTGGGCATAGGGGCTTTCCACGCCTGATTTCTGAACAGCATAATCATAGACCATTGTAATGTGCCACATCTTTCTTTTACGGACTTGAACAGCTTGTCACATATAACTCCTACATGTCCCACTGAGCAAGCCAGAATCATGAAAAGCAGTTTCAGACAACAGACTTAGTAGAACCCTGCTATAGATCTGTGCAGGACACACTGTGTGAACATTGCTGAATACAGACATTATGTATAGCGTTTAAAAGGGAGGATGCTGGCTGTATTACTTTTCTGTCTTCCCTAACACCTAAACTAGCAAAGAACACATTACAATCTCATGCACAGTCTGCGTCAATCTGAAAGGATGGTACATGCATAAATTACATAAAAGTCACAATAATGAAGTCTACAAAATTTAAAACACATAACTTGCGGCACTATATATTCACATTATAAACAAAAAAATATGGTCAAAGAACATTAAGGTTCCAAAGTCAAGCATTCAAAAGTTAGGTAATGCCAGAATTAAAGTTATCTGTGTGACTTTAATGTGGCCCCCTTGCGTATGCATTACGATACAGTCTTTAATTACATTACCACGTACTGTTTTCCCCCACATTTTCCTGCCTCATTCACTGCACAGAATGGATGGTGCTCCGGTAATGGGCAGAAGAGGTTACTCACTTTGTGCAGTAACCACAGGTCTTTGAAGTGTGTCTCCCTATGCGCATTCCACTTCAGGTGCCCATGTGCCTCTCAAGCCCTTGATTGGAGATTTTCAGTTAGCAGTGTCCATTCAGCCCATGCATGCATCCCAGGCCTCCTCATGCCAGACACCAAGACTTTATAGGGGTGTGCGGGTGAACTGCCCTCAATTCCTTCTCCCACCAAATGTCCCCTAGCAGAGAGGAAGAAGGGCGGGTCGTGGAGCACCCATAGGGGGACACATCTCGAAGAACAGTAGTTACTGCACAAGGTGACTACCACTTCTTTGAGCAGTGTCCCTATGGATGCTCCACTTCACGTGACTTCTGAGCAGAATCCACAGATGGAGGAGGGAGTTTCAAAATTGAGACCAGAACTGAAGATACCACTGCAGAAACAAGTGTCGCATTGGATCTGGCAGCATGGATCAGGGCATGATGTTTTGAAAACATACATATTGAAGCCCAGATAGCAGCCCTACACAGCTCACAAACTGGCACATTCTTAAGTAACACTGTAGATGTTGCCTATGATTTGGTCGAATGTGCTATCACCCTTGGGGGGTGGGGAGGATGAACGCTTGCATCCACATAACAAGTGATAATACATCCAGATATCCATCTCAATAGTCTCTGAGCAGAGATCGAGGACACCTTGGATCTATCTGTGAAGGAAATGAAGAGCTTAGGTGACTTTCTAAATGCTTGGTTCTATCTAAGTAGAATTCCAGTGCTCTTCTAACATACAGGGCATGAAAATAGGATTCCTGCAGAGAGAAAGATGGAGCTTTGGAAAAACAACTGGTAAATGAATACATGGAGGTGGGGAAAAATGAAGGCAGAACTCCAACAGGACCTTAGGGATTCATTGTGTGAAGATAAAGACACTGTCCTTGAAGAATAACATAAAGGGGGAGATCTGCCATCAAGGCATCCATTTCCTCAACCCTATGAGCCAATGTGATGGCTACTAAAAAGAATGTCTCTATGCATAAATGGAGCAGAAGACAGGCTGCCATTGGTTCAAATGGAGGTCACATAAAGAAACTGAGCACCAAATTGAGGTGCCAGATTGGGGTGGGGTCCCTAACCTGGACGGTAGAGAGTCTCCAAACCCTTAATAAACCCAAATGATACCAGGTGAGCAAAAATGGAGGATCCTTCTACAAGAGAATGAAAGGCTGATATTACGGCCAAAAGGAGCTTAATTGAACTAATTGAGAACCCTGATGTCTTCAGAACCAACAGATAATCCAAGATAACTGAAAGCAGCACCGAATCAGGCAGAAGGTGGCAACAACATCACCCGAATGGAAGAATCTCTTCCATTTCTGCAGGTAAGCCAGACTGGCTGACCTCTTTCTACTATTCAGTAACACCCGTTGCTCTTCCATACAGCAGGGGGATTCTAACCCCATGAACAATCAAGGAGCCACATTCTGAGGCAGAGTAGCATTAGGGTGGGATGAGGCACACGACACGCATCCTGTGATAGAAGATGAGGAATGTTCGGGAGACTGAGCAACTATTAGGAGAACTTTGGCCAGGGCTGTCTGATTTTGTTCATCACCCTCAGTGTCAGCGGCATTGGGGGGGAACACACAGAACAGACCCTTCTTTGAAGGTAGAAGAAAGGTATCGCCCGCAGACTGATGTCCCAGACCTCTTCTTGAGCAGAAAAGAGGGCACTTCCTGTTTCTGTAGGTTGATAAAGCTACGAATATATTAATGCCATTAGTCCCAATAAATACCCCAAGTGATGAAACAAATGATAAATCACTCTCAATTTCACTTCCACGATTTATCAAAATATTTTACTAAGAGTGAAATTAACAGATCATAGTTACCTTATTACACATTAACATATTTCAAAGTGTGAAGCTGATCAAAGAACTTACTGATCATTTGACCATTTATGAGAAATAAAAGCAGATTTTCTAATTATTCTAAACCCCTAGGATAAGAACATTAGAAACTGATAAACTACCAAAAAATCATCAATTAAACCTTTAGGATCTAGAAAGACAAGCAGAGTAGGGCAATGTGAAGGAGTTGGCCAGCAGTACTAAGTAGTGGAGATTTAGGGCCAGATCCTCGCCTGGGGTTTGTTGACATAGCACCATTGACTACTGGCCCTTACGCCTTAATTAAGCTGATTGCCTCCATAAAGGTTGGTCCAGGGAACTTACTGAAGAGTCACTACAGTCACAGAAGTTAGTCAGAAGGCTCTTTTTCTACCTGCAATAATGTGACATCAGCAATCCTTCATCATAAATCTGTATGTTGTCCCTTCCCTAACTCCCGTTCCTCCTCTTCCACCCACTCAAAGCCCTCAGAGGTTGCCTATATCCCTTATCTGTCCTGATTGACTTACTCTATCCTTCTATGTCTCTAGGATGCTGGTTTTCCTCCTGTAGTATTCTGTTGCCCTTGCCCACTCCATTTCCTTCTCGCATGTTCCATTATCTCCCTCTTGCTGTCCTGCCCGCGGGCGGGGAGGGGGTCAATTTTCTCTTGCAACC